AATTCTCTCTCTCTCTCTCTCTCTCTCTCTCTCTCTCTCTCTCTCTCTCTCTCTCTCTCTCTCTCTCTCAATTCCCTTCTCTCTCCGCCCACCCTCTGCCTCTTCCCCATGCATCTACCAACAATATGTATGGGGGAGAGGGAGCCAATAGGACCAGTTTTCTTTCCTCTGCTCTGAATTCCCAACTCTTAATGGGGAATGAGAAGAGAAGCAATGGATAAAGAGCCATGTTCCACTCCTAGCAGCATCTTGCTCCTTAGAGCTGAACTGACTTCTGAGTTGGGGAAGTCTGTGTACACATTTTGGCACAAGTAGGGGACCCCTTTTAAAAACACACTCCCTGTTTTTCTCCACAGCCCCCAAGTTGCAGCTCCCTTTTCCTCCTAGGAGAAGGACCTGGAATTGTGCAATGAGAAAGCTGGGAGCACTGGGATGTCCCAAACTTCCCAGTGCTGGCGTAGAGCTGCTGGAGAAATGATTGATCCAGCTTGGTGGTGGGATGAAACCGGATTCTGGTGAAGTGTGGTACCTCCACCACCACCACCCCCCTGTGGAAGGAGCGGGAGAAGTGCGGCTTTCAGGTTTAAGATGCTCAGAATGGAATGGGGAACTCTCAGCATGGAACCGGCAATAGAACTCTGGACTTTTACAATATGGCACACAGACCCCCCACCAAGACTACTGTAATATAAGAGTTGTATTTTCTGTGTATATCTGTGCTGTGGAATCTTGTGTAAATTGAATTTCTTTCTTTTTTTTGACCGCCGTTACAAGTTCTCTGTTAATTTAATAATGTGTCCTGTTTCCCCTGCCCCCTCCCCTCTGCACGCCCATGGTTTTCATTTGATGTTTATATTTTCTGCCTTCTGGGGTTTTTTTTTAAGGATTTTTTTCCTGGGGAGGGTGTGCGGGGGTGAGGGGCAAACCAAAGGGGGTCATTTTGCATGAAAGTGGGGAGGGGGGAGAAAAATACAATCTTGACAAAAAATATATCAGGGAGATTGTGAGGGGCAAGCAAGAAGCAGGTGCAGAAGGGGAGAACCTTCTGGCCGCCTCAGCTCCGGTGTGCCTCGAGGTGAGGGGGAGAAGGAGGGGCTGAAGTGGGGTGAGTGACAGGAAATGTTTAAAAAAAAAGAAAAGAAAAAAGTTTGAAAACGTTTTCTAAGATCTACAGACTTTTGTTTAATTCAACAGCAAGCATTCTTTTATGAACGGAATGAAATCTTGGCTGAAGCATCTCTCTCTTTCTGTTGGACAATATCCCACATTCTGTTTCTGTTTGTCTATAAATGCCTTAAATGCTTCTGTACTTTAGTGGTCTGAGGAAAATAAGACAGTTCCTTTCCCAGACACCACCTGTGTTTAAAGCCTGTTGCACCACCAGTGTTCTGCCAGCATTGCTGTCCTAAGCATAATAGGACCAGGGACAGAAGCTGTATTCAAACATTCTTAGATGTGGATAAAGGAGGCCGCACGTATATGGGAAGTTCTCCTCTTCAGATGGCCACCCTCCATGGGTAGGGGATGACAAATGCCACAGTGGAAGAGGTGAGGCTGCTTCATGGGCTCCCTCTCCTCACACAATTGCTTAATTCACACATAGAATGCTCAGATAGGCCTAAATAGAACCAAAAGGTGGAGCTAGTTCAGTGTACTGTGTGAAAACAGACTGCCTCCTGGAAGGCAGCTGAGAGTGTGAACCTTTTTCTCACACTAAGATACTGGGCTTAAATTAGGTGTTGGGATACCTCTTTCAGCCCTAGGACTGAATTCCATTTGGGGGAGCTTTGGGCTGCATCCAAAAAGTGGAGCAAAAAGGAGCAGGAGGCGCCTTCCCTCATTGCGTATGTTGGGTTTAAAGCTCTGACAGCCAATAGCCAGTGAACAAGCCTCAGATGAGGCATTTCAGCCCTTTAGAATGGAGCAGGGTGTGGGGGGGGGGGCTGTACCCAAAGTAGGAAGCCATCAAATGGGGTGGGGCCATCTGGGGAGCAAGGTGTGGGCCATTAGGATTTGGGACTTGATGTTCTCCACACCAGGTTTAACCTTCCCTCTCCCCCACACCATGTCCCTGAATTGAACCCCTTTCATTTTGGTGACTGTGAAAGCTCCAAAGGATCTCTCCAAGCAGAGAGAATGGGCATCAGAGTGGCAAATGCAGTTCAATGCAAGCAGGTGTAGAGTAATGCATATTGGGACAAAAAAATCTGTACTTCAAGTATACTCCAGTGGGATCAGAACTAGCTGTGACTGAGCAAGAAAGGGATCTTGGGGTAATGGACAGCTTGATGAAAATGTTGGCCCAGTGCTCAGATGCTGTAAAGAAGGCAAACTCCACACTAGACATCATTAAGAATGGAATAGGAAATAGAACTGACAAAATCTTAACTTCCCTTATAAAAATCCTTGGTGCGACCACACTTAGAACATTGTTTTCAGTTCTGAAAAGACATCATTGAGATGGGAAAGCTACAGAGAAAAGCAATGGAAAATATCAGCTGGAGCAGCTCCCCTATAAACAGTGGCTATGACAATTGGAAAAAGGGGGAGCAAGGGGAGACTTGATAGTTTAGAATAATGCATGGTGTGGAGAAAGAGGGATACATTTCTCTCTCCCATAGCACTCAAACCTGGGTTCATCCCATGAAGCTGTGGGAGGTTTAGGATAAAAAGAAATAGTTCTTCACACATGGGAAGTGGTGATGCCTACCAATCTGAATGGCTTTACAAAGGAATTGGACAAATTCATGAGGGAGGAGCAGTATCAGTGGCTACTACCCCTGCAGGCCATGTGCTTTCTCCTATACCGGAGGTGGCTTGCCTGCATAACCAGTTGCTGAGGAGCTGGACGGGAGGAGGCCTTGCACCCACCCTGCTTGAGGGATCCTGTGGGCGGCCGGTTTGCCACCATGTGTACAGAGTGCTGGACTAGATGGACCTTGGGTCTGATCCAGCATGGCTTTTCTTTATATTCTTATGTTCTTAAGGTCGTGCCCTTGGGAATAAGGAGCTGCGCTCCACTGAAAAGGCACACGGATATGCTTTACCAAACAAAACAAAACACAAGATGAAGAGAAAGCAAAACAAAAGTTTCTAGGCAATCTGAACCACAGAAGCCCTTTTTCTACAAATAGTCCTCCTAGCATAATAAGGAAAGGCATCTTGCTAGCTCTCCTGTAGCTGCTAAAGCTGTATCTGCCCAATACGCAGTCTGTGGCCACACTAGCATCAAGAAGAATGGCTATGTAAAAATTGCCGCAGAAAGAGATGTATCTGCAAAAGGGAGGATATAAATATGCATTAAACATTCCATATGCTAATTTATATGTATAGATGCAGATTTAGATATTATTGCAATTCAAATAGAAATATGTCACATCTCACCTGAGTGTGGAGGACTGTGACCTGTGTGCCTACCTGTCCAGATGCTAAGTGATGATGGGCAAAAGCAGTTTTAAAGGTGGTGGGTTCTTTTTTTCAGTCTGACAGATAGAGGCTACATGGAAGAGCTTTCTTTGTCAAAATTCAAACAGAGGACTGCCTTCTGTTAAAGAGGAAACATGGCCACCCTAAGTGTTCTTGCTTGCTTTGAGAGCACCTTCAAGATGAGAGGTGTTAGTATGACACATCTGCCTTCAGAAGCTGACCTTTCTCTGGCTCTGTTCTGTGGCTTTTTGAACCTAACAGGCTCTGTTTCGGCCAGTGCCAGTCGGTCCCAGGTGCCACCATCGACATATGCCATTCCCCAGACTGTTTGGTGTCCCTTGCACAAATTCAGGGATGAATAGAAAGAAAACCAAAGCAAGGCAGTGATAAAAGGCAACTGCACAATTCAGGATCACATTCAAAAGGTGAGAACAATGACTTGCAGATGAAGTCAGCCCCTGTTGCTTTGTAGTTGCTCCACCTGTGATTGCTCCTCTGAGCAAGCAGCATTGGCTGTGAACCAACAGCTGCCTGGCTGAACTAACATGGGCACAAAGGTGGATGTACTTGCCTCCTATGCAAACAACCCTAAATTAAATTGTCAAGCAGAGAGTGTATCCACAGCTATCTTTTTGAAGGACTTCACTGCTGCCTTAACGTCAGGGGTACCTAGCTTCTGTATTGTTTGTGATGCCGTCACTGGGGCACTGGTGGTGGCGGTGGCACTAAACTATTGCCATTCATCTCTCCTTTAGCCTCACAGACCCCCATCTCAGGAAGGCTAAAAGTTGTGATCATCCCATATTCTTCTGCCTTGCTTAAGCAAAAAGGGAAGACATGGGGTGGGACAGACTTAGTCATACTGTCAATAGACCAGTGGAAATGGGAGTTGAATTAATCATGACTAACCAAGGTGAGCTCTATCATTAGTCAGAGGGAAGTGGCTGCCTTAGGCTGAAGGGCAGAATAGAGTTGTTGGAGGGTAGAGCCATGTCTCTCGGTCTGCCCTTTACCCCTAAGCTAGCAGTGGAGGATGATGTCCTATTGCCAGTCTTGAAGTATGCTTAATTCCAGGCAAGTAGGCTTCTGTACCTGGAAAGCAGGTACTATCTTGTCCTTTGCCTCAGGAAACAACATGCCTTGGCCTAGCCCTTTGATTAAGTTCCGCTGATTTCAAGGGATATATTCTAACTGTTGTTTAAGTCTGGATCAAACTCATTCTTCTTACTATTTTTGTGCGGGAAGGAAAGAATCAATAGCACTATTTCTGAATCATTCATATTGTCTCCCAAATTGTCCAATAGTAATTGATTGTCAAAGCATTGCTGGTCACATGTGAGTCAGATAGTAATATAAGCATATCTGATAACACACTAGCCAAGGAAATACCAATATGGAGGCATTCAGTATATCTTAGATATACTCTCTTGGCAAGATATTGAGGACAGACATTATGAAGGTGAGATTGTGTTCTCCTTCACTAAAGAGACTCTATGTGAGAAATGGATAGAAATTATAGCAATTATTTCCATGTTTGCAAATATTTGTATAAATGAGCATAAGCACATTTCTGGAAAGTATTATCCTTTTTGGTTGTTAAATTTTCTCTCCTACTCTAGGTAGCAGTGCGACTGTGTTCCTTGCGTTCATTGGCTGGTCTACAGAAAGGAAGGGGGGAAATACTTGGAGGAAGAGCATGTGCAAATGTTGGGTTAATTACAAACTTGCAAAGGCCTGGGGAAATGCCCTTTCACATCCCACGCCTTCCCCATTTACCATTAACTTTGCTTTAGCAAAAGGTTTTTAGAGAACAGAACAGCCATGTCAGAAGGAAGACCAAAAAAAGGCTATTTTAAGATTCCCTATGAAAACAGGATGAAGAGATAGCTATAAATTAAGAAAAAATAAAGCAGCTGAAGAGGGAATGTCCCTCACAGGAAAGGGGAGATAAGTTTAAGCATGAGGGAGTGAAGAACTACTGAGTCTCCTCATGGTTCTGTTTTCAGGTTTTGTTCACATGGAGCTTGTTCCTTGAAGTACTAGGAACCATCACCACCCTCTGGCTGAGTTCTAGCATCCTATTGATGCTATTCACTCTTTCTCAAAAGGAAATCCACATCACAACAATTGGATATGCCAATTGTCCATAACCATTTTTTGTTTGTATTTAGTCTTCCTTTGCATGGGGATGCTAATCCAATTTGCAATGTGGGTTCCTCTATACAGTTTCATGTACAAGTTGTAGTTCTAGGAAGAAAGCACTAGAAAAGGCAGTGGCTTCCTTCCAAAATGATCACCCCTAGCAATGCTGGCTCCAGAACTTATAGGGCCCTTGGGCAAAGCAACCACTATGGGCCCCACCTCTCTTAGTGAATCTACCTCCTCACCACCACTGGCACCAGCTGCCATTGCTCTGTCTCATCTTTGAGAAAACTAGTGAGGTCCTCCTTACCACACCACCATCGCCACCATTGCTTGGGCCAGAACAAGGGGCGGGTGAACCAGCAGGCTGCAATCGTGAAGGCTTAAATCAAAAGGACTCATGTCAATGGGATCACTACTGGGCTGTAGGTCCTTGGCAGGTGTCCAGCTATGACACTAGCCTTTGCCCTGGACACTGGCCTTTTTCCAGGGTTCACCAGGTTAAAGGGTGCAAAGGAAGAGAGGGTTTCGCATATCTTCAACAATTACGTAGAGGAAGTGCAGCATGACTTTCAGGGAAAAGAACGGGTGCTAGGCAATCAAGGCTGGAGGATGTGGCTGGAGTGCAACTCACATAAATGCAAGCACGGCCAATGGCAAAGAATAAGCAGTTTTAGTCCAACATCTGGAAGGCCACATGTTTCATCATCCCTGCAAGAGAGAGTTGTAAATTACACCTGTTTAAATTATCTGCCTTGCATAACCACTGAAAGTGCAGGAGACTCCTTAACACTGTGGCTATAATATTATTAAAACGACTAATTGGTTTGTTGCTTTGACTGTGCAGTCTGAAGCTATGAGTAGTTACTATAGTAAGGCTTTTAGCTTTCAGACAAGGCTTTTATTGTGCATTCTCCCAGCTTCAAATATAGCATTTTATTGTTGTGGCAGGGGTATAGATTACTGTCTCTCCTGCTGAAACTCTCTTCTTGATTCTGTCTTTTTTTTTCTTACCACAAAGATATCCAGTAAGGAAGGAAATATGGAATAGCCACACAATGTTTTTTGATTGATAGCATTAGGAGCCTTCTGTCCAGAAGCACCATTACCAGTTTAGATGAGTAACTAATCAGAAAGGTATTGTGGTGGCAATTGTTCTATGAGGTCATGGTGATCTTTGGCATCTTCAAAAAAGCAACCATGTCTGGTATTCCTTGGGGGAAAATGACAGCAGTCAAAGAGGTATTGAAGCAGTTTTATGTCTGTAGTGCAATTTAAAAGCTGGTTCACACAGGGATGTTTGTCTCTTGATGGCTGCAGTTACAAGTGACACCTCCAGTGTAAGAATGAACTGACACAGAACGAATATAACAGATCAAGCTTTACACAATGTTTTTCAGTAAAAGTCAGACCTGCAGTAACTCCTCAAGAGATGCAGTCACATTATGTGAATTGGCCCTAAGGCTTTACCTACCTTGGATCGCCAGATGGTATTGCACTATAGCTCCCATCATCCCCAGCCACTATGGCTTATGATGAGAACTTAGGCTAGTAATACCCAGGGACCCAAAGTTCGGAAAAGCTGAGCTATGGCATGGGAATACTAGACCTATTGCTCAGGAGTGGGGCGTAAAGTAATCAAGCTCTCAATGATCTGGGGAGACATGGAATGACATGGCATTAGGTGTCCCTTGGGCCAAGGTGGACTAGCTCAGTCAAATGCTGATCTTCGTCCTTCAACAGGCCCTGGCCTGCATGGGAAGCCTCCCTGCTAACGTACATGGGCTGAACTACACAAGACTGACAGATTTGTGATTCTTTCTCTCCATGTGCTTTTAAAAGCAAAAATTAACTAGGGCCATCCAAAGCTGGGAGCATAGTGGGGGAGGGAGAAAAGAGATAGCCAGCTTAGCCCTTTCTCTTCTTGCCATTTGTCCAATTGAAATCAACCATCCCATTCCTCCCTGCCTCAGGCTGCAATTTCAGCTGCTGGGGAAAGGTAGGGGAGCCTCCACACACACTGTATAGGTAGAACAACAAATGTGGGGGAGAATTTGTGAGAAGAAAAGGAACAGGAAAAATCTATTGGGAGGAAGAATCATCAAATCTCCCCTTATATGGAGTTAGACCCTAAAATTTGTCACCTGCTCCCCCCTCCTAGTTTTGGCCTCTCCACCAATTTTTCAATGCTCTTGTTGCTCAAAGATGGTGGCAAATGTCCTGAAAAGGAAAGAGAAGAAAAGATTAAATGCCTGAGGTCAATAATTTCCCCACTTTTTTATTTCTGTAACTCTCCACTCTGGTTTCAGTACATTTTTTTATTAGCACCCTGCCTTATTCCTAGGCGGTCAAATTGACACACACAGAATTTTCAAACAATCTCCCTTCCAAACATTATAGATCAGTATGTGTTGAGAGATTTCATAGAGATAATTTAAATATGGTCAGCAGTATATAACTCTGTTAAAGATATATTTTATTTCCATTTCAGGAAAACTAAGGGGTAGGAGATACTAGTTATCCAACATGACCAACTGAGTTAATGGTTCAGACAATGTTTGTTTCAAGAACCAAGAGCAGGGGTGGAATTTACAGTTTAGGCTCTGCTTTGTTCTGAGATTAGACACTGAATGAGGGGCGGGTGCTGCCACTTACTGAAATAAGGCTCCTGATAATTCATCTACGATGCTTCCTGTAGAACAAGAAAAAATCAGATTAAAAAAATTTAGGGCGTTTCTCCTCTCTTCATCTTGACTGGCATCTTCCCATTAAAACAAGGTTTATGAAGACACTGTGCTGAGTTTAGTTCTAATCTGGATAAACCTTTTCTTCAAGGAGTGCAAGGTGGCATTGTTGTTGTTGTTAGTCGCAAAGTCGTGTCCGACCCATCGTGACCCCATGGACAACATTCCTCTAGGCCTTCCTGTCCTCCACCATCCCCCGGAGTCCACTTAAGCTCACACCAACTGTTTCAGTGACTCCATCTAGCCACCTCATCCTCAGCTGTCCCCTTCTCCTTTTGCCATCTATTGTTCCCAGCATTAGGCTCTTCTCCAGGGAGTCCTTCCTTCTCATTAGGTGGCCAAAGTATTTGAGTTTCATCTTCAGTATCTGGCCTTCTAAAGAGCAGTCAGGGTTGATCTCCTCTAGGACTGACCAGTTTGATCACCTTGCGGTCCAAGGGACTCGCAGGAGTCTCCTCCAGCACCACAATTCAAAGGCCTCAATTCTTTGGTGCTCAGCCTTCCTTATGGTCCAGCTTTCACAGCCATACATTGCAACTGGGAAAACCATAGCCTTGACTATACGCACTTTTGTTGGCAGGGTGATGTCTCTGCTTTTTAGTATGCTGTCTAGATTTGCCATAGCTTTCCTCCCAAGGAGCAAGCGTCTTTTAATTTCTTGGCTGTAGTCCCCATCTGCGGTGATCTTGGAGTCCAGGAAAATAAAATCTGTCACTACCTCCATTTATTCCTCATCTATTTGCCAGGAAGTGAGAGGACCGGATGCCATGATCTTAGTTTTCTTGATGTTGAGTTTCAAGCCAACTTTTGCACTCTCCTCCTTCACCCGCATCAGGAGGCTCTTTAGTTCCTCTTTGCTTTCTACCATTAGAGTGGTGTCATCTGCATTATCTGAAGTTGTTGATATTTCTCCCAGCAATCTTAATTCCAACTGGTGATTCATCTAGCCCTGCCTTTCTCATGATGTGCTCTGCATATAAGTTAAATAGGCAGGGCGACAGTATACAGCCTTGCTGAACTCCTTTCTCAATTTTGAACCAATCAGTGGTTCCGTGTCCAGTTCTCACTGTTGCTTCTTGACCCACATATAGGATTCTCAAGAGACAAATAAGATGGTCTGCTACTCCCATCTCTTTAAGAACTTGCCACAGTTTCTTGTGATCCACACAATCAAAGGCTTTAGCATAGTCAATGAAGCAGAAGTAGATGTTTTTCTGGAACTCCCTAGCTTTCTCCATGATCCAGCGTATGTTGGCAATTTGATCTCTAGTTCCTCTCCCTCTTCGAAATCCTGCCTGTACTTCTGGTAGTTCTCAGTCCACATACTGCTGGAGCCTAGCTTGTAGGATTTTGAGCATAACTTTGCTAGCATGTGAAATGAGTGCAATGGGTTATTTTCTCCTGTTTTTTTCACAATAGCTCTGGGACGTGGGTGGAAAGGTCTACCAAGTCTATACATTGAGCTAGATGGTTTAGCAGGGCTTGCAATGCAGATCCACCACCACAGTGCCCCATCCGATTCCACCCACTAAACTGCAAAAAGAAATCAACTCACCTGGCGTACATGCTGTCTCACATACAGGGCAAATGTAACAGAAATGGCAGTACTGTAAGAAAAAAATGCAGGAATGGGGTTTCAAGTGAGTTATAGTTAAAGCAGCTAAGGTTCACAAAACCAGATAATCTAGTTTTTGTAGGGGAAGGAGTAAGAGATGGATTGGGAAGTAGTGTGATGGGAAAACATGACAAAACTGACCTGACAGCTTGTGCAGTATTCACTGCTGTCTCCTTCTTTACAGGGGCACTTATCACACTCGTCACAGTGCTAGAAAGAGGGAGGGAGGGAGGGAAAGAAAGAGGAAAAGATTAAAAAAACTGAGCATGGGAATTGTGAAATCAGCAGAGCAGTTCTGGCCTGCAAGCTGCAACAAAATCATCTAGCTCAGGATAATCTATGTCAGAGGTTTAGGTGAAGGACTAAATCTAGCTACTAAGGTTTCCCGGATGCTCCCTTTTCCTGCCCCAACCCCTTTGTCATGATCACAAATTGGCTGGTTGTTTTCTTACTTTAATGCCCTTCCCCCCTATTCTTCATGGTTGAAATGCACAGCTAAAATACATTAGCGTTTTGGCCATATCACTTTTGCCTTCAGCTCTACCCACCACTGGAACGCAGCTCAGGAGTTTTCTGAAAAGAAATAGGGATTTGACCTTGGGCTGAAAGAAGCTCAACATCTCAGTCTGCATCTACAGTGACATCCATGGTTTCTGGAAGCAGTGCTGGAGGTCTTATCTGGAGATGTGCAGGACTGACTCTGGGATTTTCTGGCTGTAAAGCATATGCTCTGACTATAGCAGAGTGATGGTGCTTCCCAGATATAGTCTGATCTCTTGGGACTATATGGTCATTCTTCCTACCACCACTTTGGAAACACCCCAACCAAAACTGCTGCCCTTCTCCTACCCAGTTCTGCTCTCATCTTGTTGTCCTCCCCTTTATATACTTGCTGTAGAATCTCGGAATCCAGCAGGAGGGGGGAGATTAAATATTCATTCTGCGTGGGGAATATTATAGAAAGCTTAATGAGACCCCAGTAAGGAAGCTAGATTAGTCTCTTGTCTCTCCATCATCAGCAAACAGATGGCACCGATTCCCAAAACTGGGTCTCAAGATGTGGTTGGGATGCAGTTTCCGTCATCCTAGTTAATTGGTTATGCTGGCTGGGGGTAAGGGGAGCTGTAATCCAGGAACATCGGGGGAACTGCTAGGAAACCACTCTTGCCACAACCAAGTCCAGGGCCACCTAGTGACTAAGCAATATAACAACACCATCCACAAGGAGTAACCACTGCTCACTCTTCTGCGGTGAGTTTATAAGTACAGGAAGAATCTCCAGATTGCAGTTCAGCAGTTGAGAAGATGCAGTTGCTAGGACTCCCACATCACCCCTCCAGTAGCTGTGAGCCAGTAGGACAGGAGGGAAAGTGGAATAAATGAGCAACCAGACTGGAGAAGGGATAGAGCAGGAGACATAGAGGGTGGCCTCCCCTCTCCTGCTCCCTTTCAGGGACAATTCCAAGTTTGAGGGGACCCTGGGAAAGTGCCTTTTGGTGGGCCAGCTCCTATATTTATGGGCCCTGGTGGTAGCAGCAGGAAACTGCAGCATTAGAAAGCTGTGATATGCCACTGTACTTTCCCACAATGTCTCAGAATGATGCTATGCAGGTAGGTGGTGATTATGGGAAATTAAAATGGCAGCTAGAGCTTGCTGCTTGGAGCACTGGACCTGTGTGTGTGTGTGTGAAAATTTGGGGGTGCTGGGACAGGTGAAACCAGGATGCTGGGTGCTAACAGCAGGCCTGCTATGCTGGAACTTCAGAAGCAGGGATAGGGACCATGTGTCATTCCAGACATTGTTGGACTGAAACTTCCATCTTTGGTTACCACTGGCTATGCCACAAGTACCGAACCTCTGTTTTGAAGGGGATGTGCTATCTTCAGGTCTTATTTGTCGAATCCACACACACATCTTTTCCCAACTCTTCCTTTCTGCCGTTTAACTGTTCAATCTTCCCAGGCAGGGCAACATTTTCCCCACCCCAATAGGTCTTCTGTGCTTTTAACAGGCAAATAAAGATTTCCAGCAGATAAGGTTTTCTTTCCATCATTGCATCACCAAGCTGAGAAAATGTTTACAACTACATACAAAGCTGCCTTAGCTTGAGCCACACTTGTGGTTCATGTGCTCTGACTGGCAGCAGCAGAAAAGTAGGGGACCCTTTTCCCATCCCTTGCTATGAGATCCTTTTTAACTCAAGTTGCTGAGCACTGCAAATGGGGCCTTTTTGCATATGAAGCAAGTGTCCTTCTGCCATTGAACTTCACTTTCCTTCCAACTTGAAAGGAGCAGAAGAGACTCCAGAAAAAGAGATGTATTCATTGCCCTCCATAAAAAGGGAGCAAGAAAGCAGATTCTATAGGGTTTTCAGCTTTGGAAATATCTACACTTCAAATGTATATTGATTTTTATAATGCTGTAAAAAAATTGTGGTTTCTCCTAAAGAATTGTAGCTAGGTGAGGGTGCTGAAAATTTTCTAACTTGGAGGTGAGGAACCTTAAATCCCATCGGCCCCAGCCAGTATGGCCAGGGGTCTGGGATGATGGGAATTGTAGCTCAGGAATCACTAGCTTAACATCTTCCTGCACCACTAACAGAACAATGATATCTACAGTTCTCTTGTGAAAGATAATTGCTATTAGATCAGTTCACAATATAGCTATAGGCTCAGAGAAATGAGAGGAAAGAATGTGGCATGGAAGGGAAGGATTATTAGTGTCCACACAAGGGTAAAACTGAGCAGCCCAGTAATAGCTGCTCTGATGCATTTTTCACACATACCAGAGTGCACACACTGGCAGGACCTCAGTGTCCTAAAATCAGAGATCTACCATGATATTTATTTTATTTCTTATTATTATTTATTATATTATTATTACTATTCTTATTCATTTCTATAAATCTATATACAGTAAATTTATATACTGTCCAGCTAATAAATGCCTTTGGGTGTTACGCAGTCATTAAAAGTCCCAACCAACCATAAAATAACATCCAATGCAATAATACAACAAAATCATTTAAAATATTAAAGAAGATGGATATTATCCTTCAAAAAGGACTCTAGCTCATCTGTGTTGCCTTTGCATATTATGGGGCTATGGCAAGTCAAAGCCTGAAGGCCAAACTACATGTGACTCGTGTCTCGTGTTCTGACCTACCAGCATTGGTATGTCCATTTTGATTTAACAGCAATTTAGGACCCCTAAATTAGAGTGGCGCTTATAAGTTTTTCCCAATGGGTCAAAGAGCAAGTTGAAAAGGGGACAGTTTGAACTGGGGAAAGCATACCATCACCCAGCACCACTGAAATGAGCCAATTAATTTCCACCTAGGCTGTTTTTAATTAAAAATCAAAACACCACAAAATCCTATCATGAATTTCTCTAATTCGTAGTTTTGCCCTTAAAGTATACAGAAGCCAGGAAGGAAGAGAGAAGAGCACAGGGGTCTATGAAGGAAGAACACAGCAGGAATCTAGCAGAGGGCCAGAATATTCAGACTGCATATGCATATTAAGGCAAAACAGAGGTGCAAAAGACGTACAAACTCTCACCAAAGACAGAACCACAAATGAAGAGGTTCCATGGCATTGCTAAGCCCAAACCATTTAATCAGAGAAATCAAGAAACAAAGGTAGAGTTCTCCTTTCTGCTCTAAGGATCCAAATAAATGGAAGCTTGTGTAAGATGTACTATCTAATATTCTCAGATCTGCTAGCTGTGTATCTCATCAAAGGTTGATGAGAAGGAAGTCCTGCCAGACACAGAGAAGGTAGAGAAGTCAACATGCTGTGGATTAATCTATGACTGGAACTGGACAGGGATGGAAAACGATGTGAAGCATGCATCTGACACACAGAGAAAGAGACCCTCACTTTTAACATCATACTTTTCTGCCAGTCAGAGCCCATAGCACAGAGCTGAGAGGGTAAGCATGCATCTATCTTTTCCTACCTTGCAGAAGGCACAGTAGTGGCAAAGAGAGCCTGCCTCATACTCGTCGTCATCATCCTCTTCATCCTCATCATCGTCCTCTTCTTCAATGGAAAAGAAAGACACAGATACAGCTGTCCAAACCCATTGTGGTTCTCATGGTGAGAGGGGGAAGAGGTCTAGGGGCAACTGGCAGGCAAGGTGGGTATCAGGGCCTAGTGAGTTGGAGATGCTGAAGAGGGCAGAGCTGGTTTCTGAGTTTACCAATAAGTGGAATAAAAGTGCATTGGATCTGAAGAAAGGCAGGCAGAGAAGAGTTTCTATATGTTGTCTCCATGGGGAAAAGTGAAAAACAGGATTCTTTAAGAGGAGAGAAGATACCATTTCTTGCCCATGTGGGATATTAATGAAAGTCAGTGGGCAAGGCTAGGGAAAGGACAGGAAGTAGGACTGCACGCTTTTCCTGGCACATCAGTTTCCTCTAAAATAGCATCCATGATCCCTCCCATCCACCACCACCTTCAGACCCAACCATTGTTTCTCTCACCTTCTTCACTTTCATGGTGTTTCTTATCTTTTTTGAGGCCTTCATGTTTGTGGTGCTTTTGTTTGTGTCCTTCATGTTCATCTTCATCTTCTTCGTCAGAAGCATTTTCATCAGATTCTTCTTCTTCAGCACCATGGTGGTGGTGGTGGTGGTGATGGTGTTCTTCCTCCTCCTCATCATCATCTTCTTTATGGTGATGTTGGCTACCATGATGGTGTCTATGGGCTTTTTCCTTCTCTTCTTCATCCTCATCCCCATCTTCATCTTCATCATGGTGATGATGGTGATGACTCATGTGTTCTTCTTCATCACTGTCGTCATCATCATCATCGTGGTGGTGGTGGGCACCATGATGTTCTTTATGGTGATGATGTTCATGTTCATTATCATCGTCATCATCATCATCATCTTCATGGTGATGGTGATGATCAGTATGATGCTCATGATGGTGGTGGTGGTGTTCATCATGATTGTCGTCGTCATCATCATCATCACTACTATGATAGTGGTGATGATGGTGGTCACCATGATGTTCATGATGGTGGTGGTGACCCTCTTCCTCCTCCTCCTCCTCATCAACATGATGGTGGTGGTGGTGGTCATCATGATGTCCGTGATGATGGTCTTCATCATATTCATCATTGTGGTGGTGGTGATGGTCGCCATGATGTTCACCATGAAGGTGATGGTCGCCATGATGTTCACCATGATGGTGATGTTTGCCATGATCACCGTCGTCATCACCATCATGGTGGTTACTGTGCTGGTGGTGATGGTGTTCACCATGGTGTGGCCCATCATGGTGATGATCATGTTCCTCTTCTTCATCATGAACTGCAGTATGGTGCACTCCTTGGTGATGTCCTGCTTCATGGAGGTGAGTGGCATGATGGTAATGTGCATCTTCATCATCACTTTGTGGGTCTCCATGGTACTGGTGTTCCTTGTGATGATGATGTTCATCCTTGTGGCCATGTTGCTCTACTTCACTGTGCTGATGTTGCTGGTCATGATGGTGGTGCTGCTCTTCTCCCTGTGCTGTAGGGAGCTGGAATGAGCAGAGCAGTACCAGAAGGAAACCGAGTGCCCAGGCCTTCCAGGAAGCCATAGCAGAGAAGAAAGGGTGGGAGCTAGATAGCTTGCACCCAAATGTCTGAGCAGAGGTCTCAGAGACAGGCAACTAGAAAAGGCAGGTGATATACAAGGAAAAGTTAAAGGGTAGAAGTACACTGTTTCCAGCCTGGGGTTGGTGTGAGCGACGTCTGCAGCTGACCTAGATTAGCCCTCCAGCTCCCAACCAATGGCTGCCGGACCCAGCCTCCAGGACAGATGAGGAAGCCAAGCCTTGGGCCCCACCATGCCCTTATATGAGGCAGCTGGGCTGGAGGGGGCTGGGAAGGCAAGAAGAGGGAGCTGAGCTGTTTGCCCTAATGCCAGGCTATTATTAGCTGCTAGAAGCAACTGCACCTCACTCACTGGAACTGACAGGGAATGCAGCAAAGTTTCAGAGGAGGAAGAAATATGAGCCAGGACTCCTGGATCATCTGAGAGAGCAAGAGAGAGGAGTGTGTGTTCTAGTGTAGTAGGGGAATGGGAAGCTCAGAATACTGGTTTTTTGTTGGGTGTTTTGTTTGTTTGTTTTGATGCTATGGCATAAGTGCAGTCTTCCCCATCTCAGTGCCCACCAAATGTGTTAAACTGCAACTGGTATTATCTATCAGCTTTCATGATCATTGCTCCTAATGGTTGGTGGGTGATGGGAGTTGTAGTCCAACACATCTGGAGGGTGCTGGTTTGGGGAAGCCTCAGTTAGAGCAAGAGGCTTGCGAGGCCTGCGTGTCCTGAAGGGAGTGATAGTTTTAGTGGGTTTACGGCTGGTATTTGGATATTATTAAACTAGGCAGGCAAGAGGTTTGGCTCAAGGAGAATAAAAGAGGGTTGGAAATTGACCTTTACAAAAGATTGACAATTTGCTGGTTGTGATTGCTGTTCTACTTTTATTTGCTTGGATGTTTTGATTCCAGGAATGGAACAATCTTAGTCATGAATACATTGTAATAATATCAATAACTAGTTTTCTCCCCCCCCCCCCCAAGATACATGGTAGCACTGTCTGTCTGGGGAACTGGGTGAAAAACCAGGGGAACTAAAATATGCAACTTCTGAGTGTTATGAACAGAATCAGAGAAGTCATATGGATGAATAAGGTAAAAGCTGGGATATGACATTAAATGTGTTGTTGCTTTTTGGAGGGAGGCAAAGGCTTTGGAGCTCTGGGAGAGAACGGAAAGTGTCAATAGTTCAGGAGAGATAGATAGATAGATAGATAGATAGATAGATAGATAGCTGCAGAGTGAACTGTAGGGGACATACATTCCCAGCAGCCTCAGGAATGTGCTGATAGGCCCCAGTGGCTGAAACCAAATACACAGAGCTGGCTGAGATCTATAAATACTTGCCCAAAGGATTCCTGATGGTGTCCTGTTCTCTGGATTTCGTGCAGCAATTACCTAGGACACAGATTAGCTAATCTGTCACTGGGCTCTAGTAGGCACCTACAACTAAGCCTGTCACCAGGATGGAAAGAAAACCAGCTCAGGTGTGGATATTGCAATCACATCTCACATGGAAGTCAGTGTGGGGCCTCTTGCCTGGCTCCTACAAAACCTCCTCCTAGGTCAACTGGTTCAGTCCTTGGATCTTTGTGGAGGGGGAGCAGGCAGACCTCTGCACTGCCAGCACCTCTAAAGGTCCATATGTCCCAGACACTCTGGCCACAGGTCTCCACTCTGCTTGCCTGGATTCCCTCTGCTTTTCAGTCCTAGAGCCATGGAAACAGATGAGACAGCACACCTGGCAGGTGCTTCAAGGCTGCTGTCAAATTGCTTGGGTAGCCACCTGAAGGTCTACTTGGGAGGAGGGGGAAGCTCTCAAGACCTCAATAAGAAACAGGATGGGCTGGAGCCCCCAGTTTTATTTTAAGCTCTGTCTCTGAACTAAGCCAGGACTGAAGGAACAGCCTCCTCCAAGGGACTAGAATTGGGAGGAAATGAAGAGGTAAGCCTAATAGAGTACCAACCCTAATTTTTGTATGCCCATCATTATCTTTGTGAAATATTTTCTCCTAAGTGGTAGGTGCACATGTGCAAAATGAGATGATTTTTATGGAGAAGCTTTTGAAGTGATTTTGAATTTTGAAGTGATGGCACCAAGTGTGCATGGAGGTCCAGATCACATAGTACAGATACAATGTTCAGTCATCTTCACAGAAGCACAATGCTTCCCAACAGAATCAGTGCGTATGTTTACCTGGGAGCTACAGGACTATTATGTGATTGCATCTGTTGAGAACTGAAATGACTTAAGCATAAACCAGGCCTGAAGGTGGCACTCCTATCCCCGCTTATTTCAAACTAAGGGCTTTTCTACACATTCATGTGCTGTATCTTTAGGTATGGCAGCAGAATGGACACCCAGCACTACCCAAAGAAAACTTATTTTCCCGCTTTTCTGCTATATAACATCTAAAAGGCAATGTGCAATAGAACACCACAAATACAAGTGGAAAAAAACCTTTTTGTTTCCCTTTCACAAATAAAACATTTTCTGTACTCTTAAAAAAATGCCAAAAATGCAGTTAGGCACAGAAGTGAAACATGAAAGTCACACTGACATCTAAGAAACCAATAAATACTTGTGAGCAGGGAACTGAGGGCACAATAAATTTCTTGTGTATTAAAGCTCTAAGTCTTTCACTTCTTAGTATGCATCTTACATTGCACCTTAAGTCTACTTTTCAAGAGGAGGGTGGTGTTTTTTAAAGAAGCCTCAGGCAGCTAAGGGAAATGGCCACTTAATTAACACGAATTGCTCACATTAGTTTTAAAGGAACTTCAGCACCGCCAGCCTGTAATGACACTGAGGAAAAACCTCAACATAATCAAGAGAAAAATGCTCTCTCATAGCCAGATTAACATTCTGCTATGCCCATAATTATTTTTTAATTACATTGCAACACTTAAGTTAACTTGGCAGTAAGATGAATTGGTTAAAAGCTTTATGATGGATTTAAAAAGTGTGCCTGATTAATCAGGCACATTTAAAAACAGTATTGCTAATTATTTTTAGTAGAAAAACTTAAAAAAAACTGGTTGGTAGGTGCCATCTTAAAAGACGTGTTTACCCTTCTCTCTCTCACAGGTAGGCCCTCTTTTGAGAATGTGCCTGCTGTGTTTTATGTACATGGCATCTAAAAACAAAGGAAGTGTGTAGTTTTTCTTTAGAAACAGTATGCATATATCTGTAGATATAATTGATCAGCTTAAACACACATGATTAATTTACAAAGAACTAGCTTGGCTTAGGAGACTCTAACCTTTTGGGGTCAGTGGGTACCTTTTGAATTTTGAGGGGGCATCGTGAGTGCTCTCACAAAATGCCTGCCATTGTGAGGGTTACCCAATTATAAAAAGGCTGCCGTAGTAAGTGAGGACGGTTAGAAAAATGCTAATTTCCTGGAAACCAGCACTTTTCTTTGTACCATACTGTCCTCCAGATTTACTATTAATTCAAAATATTGAATGGGGGATGTTCAACCTGTTCTTTTTTTTTTTTTTTTTTTGGAATAAGTTTTATTCTTAATAGACCTAACAAAAAAGGAACTAAAAAGTCATCAATCATCAAAAACATCAGACCTACTGGGTCAGCCCCCGACATTTTTTCTTTTTATGTTAGACTATAAACATATTTAAATCTCTGCATAGTCCTTCCTGTTCTAGAGGGGATTGCACTCCCCCTGAAGGAGCAGGTTCATAGCCTGGGGTGCTCCTTGATCCCTCTTTGTGTCCTTGATCCCAGCTGTGTCCTTACCTAGTCAGGGATAACCTGGCCTCAGTAATCTATGCTCAGGTGATCGCTAAATTAGACTACTGCAATGCACTCTATGTGAGGCTGCCTTTGAAGACTGTTCAGGAGCTGCAGTTGGTGCAGTCAGATTAATAACCGGGACCCGTAGGTCCAAACATGTAAGACCACTTCTGGCCTGCTTCCAGTCCCAATTCAAGGTGCTGGCTTTAACCAAAAAGCCCTCATGGCTTGAGACCACAATACCTGTTGGAGTGCCTCTCCCAAGCATAATCAGCTCAGGCACTGCACTCAGCCTCTGGGCCTTCCTCCAAGCACCAACCCTGAGGGCAACTAGGCAGAGGGCTTTCTCAGTGGTGCCCCCGCAGCCGTGCTATAAGCTCCCCACTGCAGCCTGCCTGGCGCCAATCCTGTCATCTTTTCAGCACCAGGTTCAGACAGCCCTCTTTTCTCAGGTGTTTAAGGACTCACTCAGCCACCCAGGAGCTTAAGCGGAGCACCACGTGATTGCAGAGTCACTCATCATGTCCTTCTTTGTATTGTCTGTTTGATCACCTGTTTTTAGATATTTTAAAACTTTTCCCCTAATTTTATTGATATTTTACTGTATTTTATCATTTGTTTTTATGGATTGTGTAAACTGGCCAGAGAACTTCAAATATGGGATGCTATAGATATGAAATTGTTGTTGTTGTTGATGATGATGATGATGATGATGATGATTGATGTTTCCTTAATGAAGACATTTCATATTGTTACCACCCCCTCTGGTGTCTTACTTCCAGGTCAGCTTCACTATTCCACCAAACCATGGAGATTTTTTTCTCTCTGTCTATAGTGCTACTGCTACAAGACACAAACTTTTAAAACTGGGCTGGGCAACTTACACACCTGGGACCATACACAGCTCTAGGCTGAGAAGAGGAGTTAGAGAGAGGAGTGTGTTAGAAAGGGTGGTAGAAAAGGGGATGGAAGCAAGCCAAAAATGATGCTTTGCCAGGGAGAGGGAGAGGGCCTGGAAATGAGAGAGAAACAGAGAGAGAAGGGGACGGCAGTGAGCGAGAGTGACAGAGAGAAGGGGGACAGCAAAAAGGGATAAAGAGATGGGATAGTGCACAGTTCAAGAGAGAAAGGCACAGTCAAAAAAGGGACAACGGGAGAAGGAATAGCAAAAGAGAGAGAAGAGGTGGCAGACTGAAATTAAAAATCCCGTGTGGCAGAAAGAGAGACAGAAAAAAAAAGTTGACTCTGCCTATCACTAGCATAGCGCCCTCAACAGATTGCCTCTGAACACATGCAGTCTTTGTCCAAAAAAATGTACCCCATATTGCCAGTTTCTAAACGATTACAGTGCTATTTGCTCAAGATAAAATACATTCTAGATCCCTTTGAAGTACTTCATGAGAATTACCAAGGGACCTCTGTTAGAAAAGGGCCAGCCATTCAGTAATGATGCTTGCCCCAGCTGTGGAACCTCCCCCAGGGAGGTTGCCGCCTGCCGTCACTCTATTCTTTTCGGTGTCAGGTGAAGACCTTTCTATTTCCCCAGTATTTTAACAATTAATGGGTTTTATCCTTGTTTTTATCATTATTTATCAAATGCAGTGTGTTGTGTTGTGGTTATGATTTCTTTTTTCTTTGGTTTTCTGTTCTTTGTAAGCCATCCAGAGAACTTTAGTAATGGGACAGCATAGAAAAACTTTAAATAAATAAATTAATTTAATTAAAAAGACCAAGGGCATTGTTGCAACACCTCTACTTTGGGAAGTGAGAGATCCTCTCAGATTTTACCAGTTCATTTTAGTTTCCCATTCATTAAATGTTCCCTGTCCAATTATAGCAACTTACAGGATTTGATGTGGGGCCAGAGGGGGAAAGCCCACATCAGAATATGTGAGGAATGTTATCCTAACCTGGCACTGCTTTGCACCTTAATATCACAATTTCTTATCTCACCTGACTGCAGCTGAAGTGTGAATGAAACAGAATGCCAGGCTCACTGAGGGGAGACACTGAGAGGATTCCAAGAGCAGCTTTTCCTGCGAGTACCCCTAGATTTCAACCCTTTCCCCTATAATGCAAACAGTGCTTTGGGATTACTTGAGATCAAAACCTTGGCTCTGGATGAATTACTTTCAAAGGTGTTTATCTGGTCAAGCAAGTTCTTGTGTGGGGTGTGGCTGTAGCACAGCGGGATCACTTGCTCAGTTCAGGTTCAGACAGTGGAGGAAGTGCCGGGCGACCTTCCCACCACTCCAGCCTGGCTCTGACTGTGCCCAAATATTCTGTTCCATGTCCATTTCCAACCAGAAAGACCAGGTACTGGGCCCTGGGGCTATAGTCACTTTGTGAGTAATTGTGATGACAGGAAGCTGGTTTTCCAAGAGATCTTCTAACTCCTGATTTCTCACCCCAGGCATGGATCCCCAAACTCTTCAAAAAGAAAGTCTGTACAACATTTATCGAGCAACCTGGCGAGGGGTGAGTAACATCTGATTTTATTCTTGATATGCAGATAGGCAAAGACTTCCAGCTTCTGGGCAATGGTGTAGCTAGGTAATTTTTGCTCCTGGATGAAAGGTCTTATGGGGATCTATCCTCTATAAGATAGTTACATGTATTCCTTCAATTGTGAAGCAAACAACTAGGTGCTGATCTTCCCCTCTAACCCCACTGAACTGCTATTCCAGGGTTTACAACTGTTTCTATATCCTGGTATGCTAGAGCAAAACCACAGCAAAAGATCTACTTACTACTATTACTGACTTTAAAAGCGAAACTCTGAATGCAGGCAATTTAAATTGCTGTAGCAGTTAAGGATAAGATTAGCATCAGTAGCTATGGACATGTTGGCCAGTTGCTTCCCATCTATAAAAAGTGTGTAGAAATGAGAATACGATGCTGCATTGAGCAGCAGCAGGTCCTGTGGGCCAGAAAATGCCCATGGGGCTGATGCTGGGCTTGTTTGCTCCTGCTTTCATCACCTAGTATTTTCTGTATGATCATTTGGAAAACCCTGGAGCACTGGACCTTTGATTTGGGCCTAGAGGTCCAAACCTAGCTGAATCTTTGCTTCTGTGGTCTGTGTTATAACCCTTCTAGTTCTCTCTTTCCCCTGTGTTTGGGGCTATTTGTCTCCCACTGCCATCCAGACTCCTAATAACCTATTTTACAAAGCTTCCAAACTCTTAATTAGGCTCCTGTCCTCCAATATCCATCTCCTCCGCATCTGCAGGATGTCCTCTATGCTCCCGTTGCTTCCCATGCCCTGGCTGAGTAATTTCCCTCACTTCCCAACAACTTTCTTAATGCCTCTTAACACCTTCCTGAATGGCTCCCATATACCAGGAGTAGGAAGATTTTAGCCATGGTCAGTCTATTTTGCCTGAGGACATCTGTTTTTATACATTTTCATGTTTGAGTTAACTTTTTATGCTGTTTTACTTTGTTTTGCAAACATACTCTGTTTTCAAACCTAGATCTGATAATAATGATGCAAAAGCAAAAAGGGCATTATACCAAACAAACAGAATTGTCCTATAATGTGTTACACAGAACAATTCAACATGAGCCTCATTGGTTTGTTTGTTTGTTTAAAGTTTTTCTATGCCATAATTCATTAAAAAAATTCATGACAGTTTACAAAATATTTTAAAACTATTAATTCAAACAATAAAGCAATTAAAAACTTTTTAGTGCCGGTACTTGATGCTAAAATAAATTGTGAAATGGCATTTTAATTAAAAATGGGGTAAATAAAAGGGTTTTGGCCTTGCACTGGAATGAATAAAGCATCAGGGGTCAGAGGGCATGAATGAATTCAACCCCTGGTTCATTTAGCCTAATACTGTTGACACGGACTGGCAGCAATTCCCCAGATGGGATTCTTTTCTTGCCCTACCTGGAGATGCAGGTATTGAACCCGAGATCTTGCGCATGCAAAGCAGATACTCTGCCATTTTGCTACAACATGTAGGATGTTTGTATAGCAGGGATAAGGAACAGATGACCCTCCAGATGCAGTGTTGGACTGCATCTCCCATGATCCCTCCACTGGCTACATATCCAGACAGCCACACATTCCTCTCTCCTCTTCTAGATAGAGGGCTTCTAACACTAAGTATCTACAGCCATTGTCCAATGTATTCCAACCTTCCCTCCTTGCTACAGATTTTCTATAATAAGAAGTAAAATGGAATAAGCAGCAGGAAAACAGGGAAGTACAAACAGAAGATGTAATTGCCTGGACCTCCTGGAAAATTTCACAAATGTCACAAATTTCATAATTTCACAATAAAATCTTCAAGCACACTTAGGACATTGTGGAAGTTGTAGGACTTTCTTCCATCTAAAGAAGCAAAGGGCTGAGCTTTAAGTTCAGTCTTGAGAGTAGATGGAAGGGGATGGCATTGTAATAGTAGCAATACCTTTTCTTCTTCTTCAGCAGCATTGTTATAGCCTTATAGTATATGTGATCTAAAAAGGCATAAATGGCAGCATCCCAATTTCCTCAAACTGCAAAAATCAAGGTTAAAAAGGGATAACATTTTACTAGGAAAAATACCAGAAAATGGGGCCTGTCATGCAAAAACAAGAATGAACAGATAGAATCATAGAATGTCAGGGGGCTTAGCAAGCCAGTGGTGAATAGAAGGAACATAAACTGAACATAACAATTTAAGAAAGATGTAAATAAATTGAGAAAGGTCTAGCGGGGTGCAACAAAGATGATCAGGAGAGTGGAAACATAGGAAAGACCTATGAGAAAAACTGAAAGAATCGGGCATTTTAAGCCTTCCAAAGTACTTCAAAGGCTGTCACACAGAGGCGGATCAGTGTCTCTTCTCCATCATCCCAGAATGCAGGTCACAGAATAATACACTCAAGGTTACAGGAAGCAAGATTCCAACTGAACAGCAGGAAAAATGTTCTGACTTTTAGAGCAATATCATAGTGGAACCAGTTACCTAGGCAGGCTCTGAATTCTCCCAAGCTAGAGGCGTTGAGGAGGTAGTTGGAGAGCCATCTGTTAGGGGTACTTTAACCTAGAGTCCTGCACTGAATAGGGAATTGGACTCAATGGCCTCATTGGGCCCTTTCAATATAATATTCTATCAACTATGCTTTCCATTCTCAAGTAAGCTATCTAGAGCAACAACAAAGATCATTTCCCCTCCGCATGCTTCAGCTTCTAAACTAGGTTCCTGAAATTCAGAAAAACTCAAGAATTCTTGTTTTTGTACCAAAAGTGAATTCTTTGACAGGGCACAGAACTTTGCTTCACATTCTGTACTTGCCTTTTTTGTAATTGGCTTAACTGACAAACCAAAGGGTGATCGTGAAAAAGAACCTACAACTCTATAACCTTGAAGTCTGACCACGCCTGACCAGCTCTGTTCCACATGAGGCTATCCATTAGTTAAACTTTTGCATCTACTGTTGGTTTCTTTCCAAACTGAGATCTAAGCCCTACATGAAGAAAATTTTTTTCCCGCGTTTCCACTACATAACATCCAGGAGGCACTGCGGTATGGCAAAATAGGGAAAATACACAAGTGGAAAGTGGATTTCCTTCACTTTTACAATTAAATTCAACAAAGGGGCTGCTGAGAGCACTATTTAGATACAAAAGTGAAACTAGTTGTCTAAAAAACCTGTAAAAACAGTGAACTGGGAATGACACACACATGAGAAATGCTTTCAGTAGAAAAACTATTAGTCCAACAACAGAGGAAACCTAAATCTGTTGTATATCCAACAGTTGGCTTTTCTGGCCTTCACCTGAAGACACCCAGTGAGCTGAGACTCATCAGTTCCATTGCTGAACTGCTCACACCTCTTAAGCGTTTCTGCTCATGTTTAGCCAAAATCTATGTTCTTAAAACCATCCAAAGTAGTTCTTCCCTGTGGAGACAGTAAAGAACCAGATTTGGGCCCCTTCTGTGAAAAACCTTCAAGTTTCTCAAGAGTGCTATTGAGGCCCCTTCTGGCCCCCTTCTGGCCTTTCCTTCTCTAGACTGAATGTGCCCAGTCCCTTGAAACCTTTCCTTACAGGACTTTTCTGTCATATCACCGACCATCTTCACGGCCCTCTTCTCAGGCTGTTCCCATTTGTCTATGTCAGGAGTATCCAAACCTCTTTAGGTCAGAGGGCAGAATGACATTTCAGAGGAACTTTGGGGACTGCAATCCAGTGGTGGGTGAAGCCAAAGGGAAACTGGGGCAGGGCCAATGGCCAAGGAGGTGGGCCCAAAATACCCTCATATCTTAGCTTAGAACTCTTACAACTAGTAACTAAGCCTTAGAAAAGGCATTTCAACTTTTTGGAGTGGGAAGAAAATGCAAAAGCCAGGAAATTACCCAATGATCAGTGGTTGGAGGAAAGGGGCAGGATTTAAAGAAATGTGCATGCTCACCAGGATTTGGCCCACAGACCTGACGTTCTGCAGCCCTGGTCTATCCTTAAAGTACTGTATGATACACAGATTAGACTCATTAATCCAGATGAAGTGCAAAGAATTGTTCTGTCACTGATTGATTGACAGTATCAATTGTATTCTTGTGCCACATGTTTTTACACACACACACACACACACACACACACACACACACTTTTTTGCAGCTGCTCCGAGCTGTCTGCCATCCAAGCATTAGCATGTGCTGGAGGGCCAAGGGGAGAATGGGGAAGGGGATTTTATCCACAGGCCCAGGAACTCAGGGCTCTATCCCACTTAAGACGCCTTCTCTCTGTGTTCCCCATTCTGTAGCACCCCCTGCCTGTGCCAGTGTGGGAGCCCTCGCAGCAGCCACGTCTCTGTAGCCACAGAAGATGCCTTCGGAGCAGCCATTGTCAGCAAATGGAACTCTGCCCAGCATACGACAGAGGGGCCCACGGATGCTTATGGAGAAGTTGAGTTTGTGGGCACTGGCCGCAGGCCCAGCAAGGCAAGTTTGTTTCAGGACTAAAGCTAAGCTGACCATGGGATGGAGGGTGGTGGACTGTGGCAAGAAATCGTAGTGCACGGCAGCTTTACTGCGTGGCTCCTGGCACCTTTTCCCAAATGGGTGCCCTGAGATTTGTTCGGCTCAGTGCTGTGGTGGAGCCAGGCCTTGTGGAGAAAGAGCACTGACACTTTTTTATTTAGGAGGGATGTGGATGTCATCTGCCCCCCTCTGTATTTCACAAGCATCCTCATAGTAGTTGCAGGGAGATGAGTTTGTAGATGAAGATGGAGTGGGGAGATGAATCAGGGAGATGCTGTTGCCTCTTGTAGTGCAAAGGTTTTTTCCAGTGGCTAGGCTGTGCACAGGCAATTTAAACCATTCATTCTGCAAAGGACCTGCTTCAGAGGGGTGTTGAAAACTTCAAGATATAGATCTACACGATGGCTGACATTTTGGACTTCCCTTAGGAAGGCTGGCCTCACAAATGCCTGCACTTCAAAATTTACCACTGCATCACTTGTTGGACTAGCCACAATGGACAGGCTGGCTGGAGGTCACAGGAGTTGCAATGCATGTTTTCAGGAGAGCAGCAGGTTGGGGAAGGCTGGTCCACAACGTGAGATGAGTAGAGGCGTATTACACATTTAGGGGTATTCTAGTGCTGGGGTTCAATGAGAAGGCGCTGTGGGTCAGGATCTGAGGGTTACCTCCTTACCCTTCTCTCTCCCCCCTCCATGTTGCAGTTCATTCGCTTGTCAGACACATCCGACCCTGCAGCAGCTTACGCCCTGGTAACGCACCACTGGAAAATCCCACACCCCAACCTAGTAGTGTCAGTGGTAGGGGGTGAAGGCGAGATGCGCGTGAGGGCATGGCTGAAGGATGTGCTGAGAAAAGGGCTGGTCAAAGCAGCTCAGAGCACAGGTAAGAGCTCTCTCTCGGTCCGTTTTTGTTTTGACCTTGGGACTTCAAGTACTGGCATTTTGACTGCACGGGATGAAAACATTGCACTGGAGCCAGGGAGATGCCTGCAGTCTCCAACACTGAGGATCTTTGCACCTGATCTTATGCATTTTTGCACTGCATAGAAGGCTATATGGTAAAATAAAGACTATACAGATGCTTTGAATTACAATAAAATCAGGCTGCAGAGCTTGACTTTTATATATTGCAACACTGGAAGCATCAAAAGGAAGGAGAATGTTACTTATAGTGGTGGTGGAAGTAGCTTTTTTGCTGCGAAGGTTGGTAGTTTTACTCTAGGTTTTAGTCTAGAATAGACAAGACTTTGGGGGAGCTACTTATGCACTGAATCGTATTCCTAAAATGGGTTCAACACACTGGATCACTCCTTCGAAGTTCAGCCTGAAACCCAGAGTGGATGCACCACTCTGATGAATGGAAGCAGCAATTTCATCTGTTTTTAGTATACGGAGATCTGATTTTCAATTTTTACATTTGTTTAATTCTCTGATAATCTCTGAGTTCCAGGATTCCTTTTCCAGTCTTTGCCAAATAAGTAAGTAGATACATGTATAAATCAGAATGTATGCTTCAACATTTTACATTTTTTGTTTATAACTTGGAGCAGACCTTGGCACATACTCATTCAAGACCTTGTGTGTACAGATTCAGTTACCTGCTTCGGATGATCATAGCTTTGTTTCTTGGTTTATTGGAATGAGATATGCAGGAGAGTTTAACTCACACTTTGCCCTTCACTCCTTCTGTTGCAGCATCAGCAATCAATTTAAAAAGTCTCCAGTGAAACATAGTTTCCTGTTTTGCCCAAACCAAGAAACTGGCTACCTGCTTTGGAACAACACAGGCTTTTAAGCCAACTGCAAACATGGTTTTAGGATTTTAGCTTATTTCAAAGTGGCTAACCACAGTTTCTTGGTTAGAAGAAACCTGGAAAATTTGGTTCACTGGAGAATTGTCAGTTTTACTGCTATGTACCCTAAATAGAGGAGCAAAGGGGCTGCATGCACTGGCAAAAGGTTACTAAATTGAGATATGATAATCTGAATATAGCTAATGCTTCCTTGTACGGATCTGTGCTGCTTCAGATATCACATCTGGATTAAAATGGGAGATATTCTTTGGGAAGTAATAATTCACTCTCCATAAGGGTGCAGTGTTTTCTTCTTTCTGCTTTAGCAATAAATTTTCACTCCAATTAAATATTGTAGGCTGCTTTTACTAACAGCACACTGTGTGGTATTCATTAAGACAGGTAGAAGGAAGAAGTGGATCTTGGACCAAATTCTGTCTTCTAAGGAGTAGGGGCATTGCTAGGCCTGGTCCCAGGGGGTCCCAACCCCAAATCAGTTTCCCAGAGACTTATGTCCTTTGTTGGGAATGGAAGTCTTTTTTGTTCATCTTATGCATGGGAGTAATTTTCTAATGGGATTATAACTTGAGAGGGAAGGGTTCCCACATGGTGCAATAGCTTCTGCAGTTAAGGTATTCCCTTGCATGACAATTAAGTCTAGATAATAGACTTAATTCCACTGTTTTGGGAGAATCCAAGTCAGAGTACAAATTAACTGGAGAATGCATTGTATTTTGGCTAATTTGGATGAGAAATTAATTGGAAAGCTTTGTTCCTGTGAATTTTAAATAATCCTAGTGATTATTTTAACATCTGCATATAGACATGAATTGACTCATGCAGATTTTATGCATTGGTATATCCTATGGGTCTGGGAGGACCTCAATTTTTTAAATGATATACACACATAATGCCAACCCCGTACAACCTGCACTGGCTTCCAATGGAAGTCTGAGCCGAAGTTAAGGAGCTGGTGGTGACTTATAAAGCCATAGATGGACTTGGATAATTGAAGGAGCGCATCCTTCCATACATACCTGCCCACCCGCTAAGATCTGGATTGGAAGTCCTTCTTCAGGAGCCCTCTTTGAAGATCAGAAGAGTGGCTACCCAGAGAAGGGCCTTCTCTGTGGTGGCACCCCGGCTATGGAACATGCTTCCTAGAGAGATGCACCTGGTGCCAACACTCGTTTCTTCTCAGCACCAGCCCAAAAACTTTTTATTTTCCCATTATTTTAAATGTTAATACTGTTTTAAGATTGGGTTTTATTTAGTGTATGCTATATTTTATTGTATTACTGCCCTGAGACACAGTGAAGGGTGGGATATAAAATCTTTAAATAATAAATAAATAAATGCCTGGCAATGCCTCTGCTGAGTGGTGCTGTTTCATCCACTCTGTTGTCAAACCTTGATGCAAACAAAAGACTATAACTGGCAGTCAAGTAATGTCTTTCTTTCTTGTATGAAGCCTTTACAGTATCTGTTCAGGAAATACTCTCATGGCACTTGATAACTGTAAAATGGTTAATACAGCAGTATCTTGGTAATAAAAATACTTGAAAGTTTAAAATGGTCAAGGTACTGATTTAAAAAGCAACATATACAAGTATCAGCAACAGACTTGAAAAGTAGATTCAAGTTTTGTTTAAAAGGGTATAAAATGAAATGGTCATTGACAATAAAAAGAAATTACACAACAGGTTGCTTTATAGAGGGGTGGGAAATAATTGAGAGTTTTAGCCTGCTGCTTCCTTTTTCAAAGCAGATCTCCAGCAAAAGAGGTGGCTGAACAAGACAAAAAGGTTATGTGGCTATCTGTCTCAGTGGTAATGCTTAAAGAGTTATATTAGAGTTAATTGAAAAACACTGAAGTGCCTTGCCTGGAGATATCACTAGTTTAAACAACAATCTGCCATAGAACACTCAGGTTAAAAAAACAGCAATCCCAGTGATCTTGCATTTTAAAAACATTGTGAAATAGGGTGACTTTTCTTTTCTTTATGATTAATTCAACCCCATGAATTCCACTTGGCTTTATCATTAGTTTTTGTTGGAATGTCTTTCTTAGCTCATCCCCTGTTGTGAGGTTATACAAATGAGGAGACAAGGACAGGAGAGGCTGCAGCAAAGAAGAACGTTACATACCGGCTGCTGTTTGTATTATTGGTGTAGGAGATCTAGAAAAAAAAAAATACTGTGAGCTCTCTTTGGTTTTTAGTACTTCCTTTGGAGGCAGTGTGTATTTCCATATATACACAGGTGTGTTCCATCAGGATGTGATTGTGTAATACAATTTTACAAATAGAGAGTGGTTGTACTCTGAAAGATTGTTTATTGCAAAGTATGCATGGTTGACAAGGAAGTTATTGGTGCTCCATATTCCTTTACATAAGGATGTTTCTTTTTTAATTGTGGTTTGCCTGTGTGTGTAAAAAAGGAAAATAGTGCACGCACGCATGTGTGTGTGAGAGCTATTATTTCTGGGTATATTTATAATAGAAATTACATTCCAAAAGTGATTGTTTCTTGGAAAGCAGGTTTTATACATAGGTGTGGAAGATTTAGAAAAAGGGAGTAGATATACAGAAGGGCATTTATGGGCTGGCCCTTCTGTGCGTACTTTGTGAGATAAGCAGTTTATGTATAGGTTAATTGCCTGTGTGTGTAAAAAAGGAAAATAGTGCACGCACGCATGTGTGTGTGAGAGCTATTATTTCTGGGTATATTTATAATAGAAATTACATTCCAAAAGTGATTGTTTCTTGGAAAGCAGGTTTTATACATAGGTGTGGAAGATTTAGAAAAAGGGAGTAGATATACAGAAGGGCATTTATGGGCTGGCCCTTCTGTGCGTACTTTGTGAGATAAGCAGTTTATGTATAGGTTAACAGATGCCCTTTGTCCAATAGGTGTGTCTCCTGAAGTGATTGTCACCTTCTTTATTTGATGGCAACTTCTGAACTACAGATTAGCTACAATGAACTAATATACTGTTGGGGTTAGGGGAATTTCAAGCAAAGTCTGTTGAATATCCTCAGAAAAGTGCTGTGCCTTTTTAAAAATATGGAAGTGAAAAATGTAAAAATGTTTTCTTTTACTTCAAGTCCAAAATGGACAAATGTTCTTAAGTGTCAAAACTTTGTAATGTTCTCCACATCGCTGTAATGGTTTCCCACTCCCATGTAGGTGCCTGGATTATGACTGGTGGTCTGCAGGCTGGTGTGGGGCGCCATGTTGGAGAAGCAGTGAGGGACCACACTACAGCCAGTACCAACCCGAGCACCCATGTGGTGGCCATGGGCATTGCCCCATGGGGCATTGTTGATCAGCGCCAATACCTTGTGAACCCCAAGGTAGGGTGGTGTGGAGTGATTCGGAGAAAACCGCTTGTGGGAACAAAGTGAACAGACCACACGGAGGATGGGATGAGCATGGCAAAATTAGTTGGGTGTCCTGAAAAAGATGTAGGATACCACAAGGTTCAATCTTGACATCGGTGTTTCTGAATAAGTTTTTGAAACTGTTGGATGCAGTCATTTGGGCATTTGAGGCACGGTATATGGATGACATCCAGTCCCTTTCTCTATTGCTGACCTAGACCAATGCCAGATGAGGGCCAACCAACTGAAATTTTATCCTGGTGAAATCTGTGGGTGTTGGATGGGTTGTTCCTGGGTCTGGGAGTTGTATACTTTGCTTCCCCTGATGTAGACAGGTGGTATGAGGGTGCCCTTGGATGCCTCTCTGCCATTCAGGGTCCAAGTGACCTTGGCAGCAAAGAGCAAGAATTAATCAGCTTCAGCTGGATCCTGGCCAGGGCAATCCTAAGCCATCACCCATGACTTAGTAACCTGAAGTTTGGACTTTAGCAATGCACTTTGCATGGAGCTGCCCTTGAGATTGGTTTGGAAGCTGCAGCTAGCACAAGATGCATTGATCGCACTGCTGAGTGAGGCTTCCTGCTATGCACCTATGACTCCTTTGTTCTGTAGTGGCTGTCCATTAACTACTAAGCCATGTTCAGTGTGTTATTGTTGGTGTATGAAGCCTAAAAAACCTGTATAGGATGCCCATATACATTTGAGGGGGACGTCATTCTTATGCTTGTTTGTCAGGGATAAGCAAGGAAGGGCCTTCTCTGTTATGGTGCCCCCCTTATGAAATAATGTCACCACTGAGGTTAGACAGGGGTATGCCTCCATCAACAACCAAAAACAGGGTGTTTCCTGTCTGTCAGGGTGTTTCCCATCTGTCAGCGTGTTTCCCTGACTGGTAGTAATACTCTCGATTATTTTAACGAGACTTTATTGTTTTGTTACTGCTTAATTGTGTTACTGATTGTTTTATGACCTTTTATAATGGTTTTAATTTGCATACAACTGTTTTAAAGTGAATGTATTATAGAACTTTTCTGGAATAATTAAATAGCATGACAGAGCAGAATCCTTCCAGCATTTCATTCATTCTCTCCCTTTCTTTTTCCTGCCATAAAGGGTTCATTCCCAGCACGATCTCCTCGGACAGTCCCTGTTAGCCCTTTCTGCCCTTTAGATGCCAACCACTCTGTATTCTTCTTGGTGGACGATGGGACACAGGGCAGGGCAGGTGGTGAGGCCTCCTTCCGCGCCCGCCTGGAACGCTTCCTTGCCCAGCAGAAAGTGGGAGCTGGCGGTGAGAGCTTTTCTTCCCCCATTTACACTTATTGCGTTCTCCTCTGCTTACTCTTGTTGCTCCTACTTTGCAGCAGAGGTGGGCCACCTTGTGCCTTCCAAGTGCTTTGGACTTCCATCAGGGAGTCTGACCAATGGTAACACATGATGAGAGTTGTATCTGGAGGGTACCAAGTCACCTATCTCTGCCATATGCATTGAATTCAGGCATAGGGCATTTCTAGATGAGGCAATTGTCCTGCTTCACTCATTGAATTCTACCAGACAAGATCATTTTCTGCTTGTAACTATCCTATGCATTCACTTTCCTCCTGCCATCTTTTTGCAAAAAAATCTGTTCAGGAGGAAAGGTCAGAATAGCTTTGCGCTGAAGGATAGCACTAGGAACTTTCCCTCTGAAAGCATAGTTGCAGTAGCCCCTTTGAAATCAGTAAGACCTAAGGCAGTCCTGGTGACTTCACATATCTAAATTCTGCATCGAACCCTTTGGACAGAACTCCTCCCTGTAGTTTTGCTTCCTATCCTTGACTGCAAGTCATGCATCTGCTGCGCTTATGATCGCTCCCCAAACTAGTGATCCACTGTTAAAAACAAAATGCACCCCTCCCTGTTTTAACGTCTGTCCCAGCTACCCACAGAGCCTGTTCTGTCATGTTTCCTCTTTCGGCTGTCCCTAACTGCACTCTTGTTTATTGCTGTCACTTCTATTTAATGTTAAATTTCATGGTAGCAGTGACCTTATATCTCCTCCTCAGATTCACACATCTTCATGGAATCACAGAAATGGTGTCAAGTACATGAACCAAACAATGCTAGGCCTGGTTCTGAGAGAACATGGTGTCCTGAAAAAAAGGGCCTGTTTTCCATATCCATAAGGTAGAGGCAGAGGCCTAGTTCTCTCTGAGGTGCAGATAAGCCTGTGTGTATTTGCTATATTACTTCAGATTATAGTACACATGAGTGAATGTTCCTTTGTATATTAATAAATCAATTTCCCTGCACACAGAAATATACACAACAAAAGAGTGGGAGAGACTCAGAATCCTATTTACTCCCTAAGATTCAGTTTTTTACGTGGAAGTAGCTTTTCATAAGGAGAAGCAATACATTTGTGCTGCCCTCTGTTGTCAGAAATAGTTCAGCACAGGCACAGTCTTTCCATCAAAGTGAGAACTTGGTCAGAGTTTGCTGCCTTGTTTATTAATACACATTTATCCAGGATTTTGTGAGTTTCTCAGCTACTGTACTCTCGTGCAACTGGTCAGCTTTGTTGCCCCACATCACTTTTCTAGTATTTGTTCCTCTTAGGCCTCCAGGCTCTCAGTTTCCCTTACTATGTTCCTTATTTTACTGCTTTCCATAGGTCTTGGAAGTATTGAGATCCCTGTATTAGTGCTTCTCATCAGTGGGGACTCAACTATGTTCAAGGTAATGGGTCTACAATCCTGTGAAGGGAAGTGGTGGCAGCGAGGTAGAACGTTAGGTCAGAAGTCCAGCATTCCTCTCATCAGAAAGAAGTGGTCGTCTCCAAAATTCACTAGGTCAGGAGCACCACATTTTGATGGAACACACTGAAGGAGCCCTAAGACCATCTGAATTATGTAAATACACATCACCATCTGAAGTCCACTGCTGCTATTCCCAGTAAGAACATTACATCTAGACTCTAAGTAATCAAAGTGGACTGCTGGTTTGAGGGAGCATGATGACAACAAAACAGAGAAAGGTCCTGAGAATGTAATAATAATAAATAGACAAAGTGTGGGAAGCATCAGACACAGAAGTGGAACCCCTGTGTGCACAGGGAAACAACTGTGAGGATGAAATATGTAAAGGCACTGAAAGAAAACTGAGGTGGTGAGGGGTACCAGAGAATGAATAGAAAATGGAAAGGGACTGTTGGAGAGAGCCCTAGTTGTGAAGGTGGAGGTGAGGTTCATGAATCAAAAAGGGATTTATTTCCCTCTGGCAGGAAGCAGGGGAAGAAACTTCCCTGTGTTTAGATCTGTAAAGTTGTTTGTGAAGAAGAAGGATGGGGAAGACATGAAGAGGAAGATGTGGGAGGTGGTTGTGGAATAAGATAGCTTGTGAGAAGACAGGGATGGGACTGCCTTGGACCAACAGCATCTACATGAAGACAAATGTGAGAAGGAGGCCACTGATGAGCCAAGAGATGGAAAGAAATATGATAGGGTGTGTGTATATAATGGGAGCAGTTGAAAAGGGTCAGGTGTAGGAGAGGAGACTTTTGGAGGAAGATACATGGAAAGGTTGCCCATACTGGGATGGAGAGTGAGGAAGTACATCAGAAAGACTAACATGGAACTTGCTGGGAATTACCTGTTACTGAATGCTGTGTGTAAAAGGAGCTGGGGTCTCAGAAGAAGACCCTTTAGGAGGGGATAGCTTTATAGATTCTGAAGGGACTCATCCCATCATGCTCACAGCTTCCATCTTGTTCATTTTCTGCAGCGTGTCTCTGACGCTGTCCATGCCTCTATCCCCTGCCTGCTTTTGGCAGGATCTGGGGGAGCAGCTGACTGCTTGGCTGGGCTGATAGAGGAGACACAACCTGGAGAGTCCCTGAAGGCACTGGCAATAAAGAAAATGCAGGGGAAGTTCCCTGATGATGAACTGGAGGACTTGGCAGAGGAGGTAGGATCTAGGAAGCAAACCCTTTTCCTTTTTCTCTGTGAGTTGCCCAGAACTTTGGGAATCAAGGCCAACATCAAGGAAAGGCATGAATGGGTATCTTCCCAGGGCCCACACCCTAGCAGGGGCCCACCAACCAGAACCCCTGGAATCACATGTCCTTTTCACCATTGCAATGTGCTTGTCTATCATAGACAATGGCAGTGCTAAGGAGAAGGTGATGCCACTGCCTATTTGTCCCATGGCTGGTGGTAACAATGATGAGGAAGAGGATGAGGAACAAAAGCAGCTGGTGACAATAGCAATGAAATGGTAGACTCATAAGGAAAGATGCCTTGCCCAAGGGCTCTCAAAAACGTGGAGATGGCACTATTTTGAACTATTTCAGATGTCTTCCTATTCCATATAGCTCCTTTCCTTCCATAACTTTAGATGGCTCACTAGTCCCCAGAGAAACTCTCTCTTTCCCTTTCAGGAGAAGGAATCTCATATTTTGTGAGAGCTCTCCAAGGTTATTTCCATGCGTTTTCTCACCAGGTGGAGCGCATTGGGGCTCTGCGGGAACTGGTGACGGTTTATTCAGACCATGAAGGTCTGGAAGAGTTTGAGACAATCTTGCTCAAAGCCCTGGTGAAAGGTAGGTGTCCTATCCCAAGTAAGTCTGTTACCCATGATACTACATTTTGAAACTAACTCTTACCCCATTCCTACAAAGTCTGCTTCACAAATGACTCCCTACATCTTTGCCTTCTCTATGAATTTCTCTCTACTTTTATAAGTGTTCCTATTTCTTGCAGCCACTATCTTCACCCTCACCCACCCAATTATAGTGCAGTAAGGAATTGAGGAAGAAGCCAAAGCTAATGGTGGCCTCATCCTCTCTCTTCCTGGCAGCCTGTAGGCGTTCAAGTGAGGCTACCTGCTACCTGGATGAGCTGCGCCTGGCTGTGGCCTGGAACCGTGTGGACATCGCCAGCACGGAGCTCTTCCGTGGGGACATTCTCTGGGAGGTAGGTCAGCAGTGATGTTGGAGGGAAGAAAGGAGGGCAGAGGTTTTAAATGTGAAAGAGGTGAGATGATAAAAAGGGTCCAGTGGACATTTGAAAGGGGAGAAGAGTTGGATGGAGAACGCTTAGAAAGCAGAAAGGGGACAGTGGAGAGCATTGCAGTCCGGGGACAGGTCAGGTAGGTGTGACTCTTCCAGGAGCCAGCATGAGCCACTTAGGTGGCAGGTGACATGGCAGCAGCTTGTGTGTGTGTTCACACACACTCATTCACAGGGACCCTGCATCCTCCCAGCCACATGCCTGTAGGCCTCCCTACCACCCGTATGTTCCTCTGCTTCCCCACTGCCTTGCTCCGTGGTACATTTAGGTAATTAGAGACTCTGGACTTATTGTCTTACTTCACTTACTTCAAATGCGGTAAGCAAGCATTGCTGCATTTTGTGGGTCATCTTGCCCTTCTGTTGACTGGGGCCCCAAGATATCTGCCCCAAAGATCTGCTCTGATAGCATTAAGTAGCAAGGAAAGTGAAGAAGATGAACAGAATGTGGATGAAGGTTAGTTGTAAACTGTCTTTGTGAGAATTCAAGTATGGAATAGGGGAGTGAGGATTTGGGATGGTGCGGGGGACACCATTGTTTGAGAGACCAGCAATTGCTTGTGGGAAGGGACCACTGCTCAGCCAGAGCAGCTAAACCTGATGATTGCACCGTGGAAAGCCCTTTTGGCTTTCAGAATTGCAGGTTAAACAATAATCATCACAAGTGCCTTTTGGCCATTCCCTCAAGATAGATAACAGACTGTGCCCCCCAGGGCTGAATTCTCTTTTAGCGTCCGTTCTTCCTTTCCTGCCATTTCTTGCAGCCCAGCCTGCTGGTGGAGCCAATGCGTGATGCCTTGCTGGGGGACCGCCCTGCCTTAGTGCGCCTTTTTGTGGAGAATGGTTTGGACATCAGTCAGTTCCTGACCTGGAAAGAGCTGGAGCGCCTGTACAAAGGGGCCCCTGAGGTCTCACTGCTGCGTCAGCTTCTGCAGCGACGACAAGTGGCCAGCCCTGAGCCCTGCTTGCCCTCTGATCACCTGCTGCTGGAGCAGTTTCCTTCTGATTACCACCTGCCTCAGGTGGCCCACATCCTCTCTGAGCTGCTGGGGGATATCTGTGCTCCCTTTTATGCTGGATTGCACCCCACTGGCCACAAAGGGGCAGGGGTACGTTGCAGTAGTCTCTGGAAATGTGGGGATGGTCGTGTCAGGAGCACTATGGGGAGTGGAGGATGGTTTGGGAGATAGACCGGGGAGCTTGTACTTCTCCAGATGTTGTTGGAGTCTGTTTACTATTGGGCTCAGCAGCTTAGTAAATGGGCAGGAGCCTGGACCTGAATCTACTTTCCTAGGCTCAGGATCTGCCTATCCATTGGTGCCAAAGGAAGGTTTTGTTTTCTGTAGCTTAATTGTCATGCCGGGAGCAGTTTATGAGGGGGCTTGCACCTGGGAGGAAGGGATAGCCCTCCTCACATGCCATAGCATTCCCTCAAATCTCTCCCTGCCTGCTGTTTATATTACTGGAGATTCCAGTAATCTCCTATCCAGATAGTTGATCAGGTTTCCCCTTGCTTAGTTTGGTAATGTTGAAAAAAGTAAAAATTGCTGAATCTGGCAGTGCAGGAAAGAGCTTGAAGGTAACAGGATGGCCTCAGAATTTCCATCCTGCCCACGGATATTTCCCTTGGCTTGCCACCCCACAGTCCATGTTCACTCATAACAGTAAGACCGATATTACTAAAAAAATTGGCTTATTTATAATGCCTGCTATCATGTTGCATCACAAAACATTGAACAGCAATGTAATTAATTGTTGGTGAAATTATTACTATTTTCCTGCACTGCTTCATCACACGATCATTACAGCCCATGGTTTTGGATGGTGAATGATCTTACTGATTTAAAAAAAAAAATACATTAAAAAGTTGTTTATGTTCGGAGCCATAGACCAAACTGAGGAATTTAAAGTTCAGGCCTGTAGGATTTGGGGTGGGAGTGGTGCAGAAACAGATTCCTAATAAAAATGGTTTTTAAAAAATCAGGTTTCTAGTCCTCATTGTAGAGGACTTATTTGGAAATAAACAGTCAGTGCCTGTAAAAAAAAGGCTGCATTCCCCTATCAAAATCCTTAGCTATTGATTTCAGAACTGGAATACGTAGGCAACAAGCTCATCTTTCAGTACAGGCTTTTGACTGCCCATTTCCATGTTCTTAGTACAACAGTGGGCTTGATGTTGAGGCTAAAGTTGCAGTGGTTTATTCTGTGGCAGGCGCTATAACTTTTGGGTAGCTTTCGAACACTAACTCACTAAGTGTGTGTCTATGAAAGTTTCTGTATCCCATTCTGATTGTGCTTCTTTCTTGCCTCCCTGAAGACTAAGGGATTGCTACCCAATGAAGATTCCGTGTACCTTTCTGAATGTTCACCGAACCCTTGGACTGATCTGTTTATATGGGCTGTGCTGCTGAACCGTAGAGAGATGGCCATGTATTTTTGGGAAATGGTGCGCATGAGGATGATTTTTAATTATTTTTATTGTGAAATATCGGCAAAACAAAAGAGAGGGAAAGAAAACTTACAGCTATATGAATTTGAATGTATCAATCTGTGTGTGTGTGTGTATGTGTGTGTGAAAGAGAGAGAGAGAGAGAGAGGCAGGCTGTCACAACAATCAACCATGTGGAGTTACCATGATTTGCAGTTTTTTACCTTGCTGTGCCTGGCAGACAATCAGGCTCATGATGGTAACCCTCCCTCCCTCCCTCTCTTCCACTGCATGGGGAATGAGGCTGCTTTCCTTGACAGCCTCTGTTGTACAAACAGGGCTCACACCCTGAAGGGCACCAGAGAAGACAAGGTTGCCCCCACCTTCTGCTCCAGGGAAGGGTGCCTGAAAAGTGTGTGTGTGTGCATTTGTGCATAACAATATGGTTTTCTATGAACTATACATATACATATAAATGCAGATCAAATATCTATATAAGTATTCTTTTGCAAATGGCATATATATGTCACCCGTTCAAATATTTAAAATGTGGTTATGCCCTCAAGCAGGAGGTGAGAAACATTTATCTTTCTAATGTTGCAAAATCAGTCTCTTAGTTGTCAAAAGGATATGGAAAATCCAGTTGTGCTAATAGTTAATTCAAGAGGGCATGTACACTTGAGCACAAGAACTTAGGCTACTGGACAGAATAGAAATTAAAACAACAACAACAACAATAATAGTTAAAGTACAATGTTTATTGAAAAAGAGTCAATTATTGGGCATTGCTAAAATATATAGCAAAAAGAAACATTAGTTAGGTTCCACCTGCAGCAATTGGCCAACCTGGACAAACGCTTATTAAAGAGACTGAATACGGTAACCTGATATCCACAGGTGATTCAGATGTAGGGGTGGACACAGAAGCTGTGTATGTCTACCCTCTACACTTTGGATGGTCATTGTGGAAGACCTGGATTACATGGGCAGCCTCATACAGGGAGAACTAAAACACGGGTAGGCAACATGGAATCCTCTTGGTATCTTGGACTACAACTCCCATAATTCCTGACCACAAGCCATGCTGGCTGAGACAGATAGGAGTTGTAGTCCAAAGCATCTGGAAAGCACCATGCTGCCTACCTCTAAAAGTTTCCCAGACTTGAGTGAAACCAGGCCTGATACTCAGCCTGCTTTTGCCCATTTTTGGATTTGTGGAAGTCAGAACCGCTGATACGTATTTTTTTCTTCCTGATTCACTGTTGGCTGTGGGTTTGTTTGTGTTTTGAAGGGCTATTTCCTTGTCTTTGTCCCCACGGATCATTGTCCCTTACCTCACCATAGGCCCCTGATGCAGTGGCTGGGGCATTGGCGGCAGCACGGATGCTTAGAGAGCTTTCGCACCTGGAGACGGAGGCAGAGGAAGAGGCGGCCATGAAAGACCTGGCGATGCGCTTTGAGAATCTGGCCATAGGTGAGCAGGAAAAGAAATGGGAACTGCTTAGGAAGGGAAGGAGGGGCTCACTGTATGACTATGCATGACTATGAAACTAGCTACCTTGATTCTTCCTGAATTTGGACCAGAGGTACTTTGATTCTAGAGAAGTGTTTAGTTCACACAGTTTTTGCATACAGCCAAACATTTCCATTGTTTGGAATGCAGCACAGCCAGCCTTTTTGACTTTAATTCAGTGGTGCAGGTAGAGCTGAACCTTAGGGCCAAGGGCTTGGTCCCCACAGACCAGGTTTCAAGCCATCCAGAAAGTAGCAGGTGAGAGTAGCAGCTGCAAACAGGACAGGTATCAGTACCTAAGCTGGCACAGCATCAATATTTTTTTCCTTATTTTTAAACACATTTCTTAATTAAGTGTGAATAGCCAAGAATGTACATGGTCAGCAAAGCTCATTCTATTGTTTTTCTTTGTAAATAAAGGGAAGCACTTTTTAAATCAAATGCTGCTCATTCTCAAGTAAATATGCTTAGTATTAGGGCATCAGAATCACATTTTATGATGGTGAAATGCAGGACTTTACCTGCTTGGAATCTTTCCTTTTTAATCAGGGTTGACAAACACTTTTGTCTTGTTCTCTGTTCTAATTTATGAAGAATGTAGAAGCAGTGGAATGGAAAACATGGAATGAGGTTAGGGAGGAGATAAATGAGTGATTGCTGCACAGCTGAAATAATACATATGATCACGCAAAGGAGCATAAAACCATTTAAGGGCAGATTTTAAAGTTACCTGGGTGCATCATTGCCTTCATTGGCTTTATTTATTTATTTAAAACATTTCTATGCCGCCCCCATCGCAACAAAGCCTCGGGGCGGCTCACAACATTCATAAAAAGATACAATTAATAATTTAAAAACTGGTACCATCTCAGCTATATATATTAAAATCTATAAATACAATAATAATAAATTAACAGTTAAAATAACTTTTAAATAAAAAGGTCTTCGCCTGGCACCGAAAAGCAAATAATGACACGCTAGGCAGACCTCTCTGGCTTTCAGTCATAATCCATACATTCTCTTGCACTTTCGGAAAGAACCCAGATTTTGCACTCTGAATCTCTAAATTCAGAATATAGCATACAAATAGACTGCCCAAAGAGGGCCCCTTTGCCTGAATATTTTATAGGTGTACACCTATGCCATCATTTCTAGGTTATGTGACAAAAGCGTTTGGAATAAGGTGGTTTGCAGACAAAGTAGGGTCAGTCTTCCCCAGCCTGGTGCCTTCTAACTGGCTGAAGTACGCTGTGAGTTTTAGTCCAATATATCTGGAGGGAACCAGGTGAGGAAAGGATGCATTAAGGGAAAGGGTTGAATTAGAAAAAAAATGAAGCATGTCATTCTTCACAGAGGAGATCATGGGAAGAAGAAAGGGATCTTATCGGGCTAGTACACATCACAGGAAAAGGAGAGGCTATGCAAGAAAAGGCTCATAGCGAATTACAGAGACTGTATCATAAGTTTTGCTTCATCCTGGAGATTTCAGTCCAGATTTAGGCCCACTGTGGTTCAGCGTGTTGAAGTTGGACCGGCAGTCCCGCTTTCAAATCCCTGCTCAGCCACAGATTTATGGGCTATCTTTCGGCAATTCTCTGCCTACCTCTGTTCACCATCTGTGAAAATGGGTATAATGTATTGTTTTTGAAGTGGTAGTAAGGAGAAGAAGAAAGGTATTCTTACAAAAAGAGGGCTAGATCTTTAAGAATGCACTCTTAAGAACCTTTTAGAAAAACTTTTTTTAAAGTTTTCAGACTTTTAAGAATGCTATGTGAATAATGGATGTTATAAATGAGCGGTTTGGGGCATAGCAGGGGTTCCTGAACATCTAACTTATTATTAATTCCCAAATGTGTGTCTCTTCTCCAATCTTGCCCCATTCCCCAACTCCAGGTGTTTTTGGTGAATGTTATCGTAACAGCGAAATGCGATCCTACAAGCTGCTGATCCGTCGGTCCTACCTCTGGGGGGGAGCCACTGTCCTCCAGCTGGCCCACCAGGCGGATGCCCGCCTCTTTTTCGCCCATGATGGTGTGCAGGTATGGCCAGATGGAGTTCCATAATGCTCTGTTTCTGTGATACTTGCCCCTTGAGTATTCACAGGGTTGCCAAAACCGATTCTGAACAAGTCCTGTCTCTTTAAGAGAGGGTGCGGAACCTCAGGGCCAAGGGCCAAATCTGGCCTGGCTCCAATCCCTGTAAGTCCCTGCAGGGTTCTCTAGCTTGCATGCTCTCCATTGTCCCAACCCCCATTGTTTTGTGGTTTGTTTCTCGAAGTGGGTCTCCCCTTATCCACTTCAAGCAGCAGACTCGTTGCAAGATAGTCCTTTTCTTTCGGATTCACATCTAACAATCTATAGCCACAAGAAGACAAGTCTCTGTGCGTGAGCAAAGGGAATCCTTAGACCCAAACCAGAAACTACTTCCAAAACCCCTCCTTTTCAGTAACCCTGGGCCCCACCCCTCCAGGTCTGCACCTCTGAAGAAGGGCTGGTCTTCTAGATCTATGCAAACCCTTTTAGCCCAAGCCACATCATGGGGCCAAGGACTGGACTGGGCTCATCCCCCTCCTTTCCCTTGTCCCCTCCCTGCACTTCTAGACCCTGTCTGTTCTCATGGTCTCCTGAGCATCCAGAGACATTGGCCAGCTGTCAAAGACCTCATCTGAACAGTCATTGGCATCCTGACCCTGGGAAGCATGCCAAGGATAGCTGCCTCTTTCATTCCCAATGGTTTCCCAGTTTTTGCACAATTCCAACTCACCATTCAAAAGACTGAAATTGAAATTGCTTTCCTAAGGCTTAGTTACTGGCAGCAAGAGCTTTAAGCTGCAATAGTTTCTTTTGTATTTTGGGTCCCACCTTGTTTTCCTTTGGCACTGGAATGCAGCCTGGGAGAACTTCTCTGAAATTGAATTTGGCCCTTGGACTAAAAGATAAAAGTAGGTTCTACACACCTACTTTGAGAGCTAGGAGGGACGTAATATTCAGCAGGAACAACAGCTACACTACAGGTGGACAGGCTGTGACTGTGGAGTATCTTCCTGATTTAGAGCTTTTATATTTTAATAATAAAAGTATCCTGTTAATTTAGTTTTTGCCCATTTAAGACTTACGAGGCAAGCATCTGTTAGGATGATACCTTTGTTAGGCCACCAAAACAACAACTGACTTAGAAAAAAAGGTGAATAAAGGAATATATGATAGAGGTGTACAAAATTACGCATGAAGTTCATGCAGGAAGTTCATAGGAAGAAAATTTTCTCCCTCTTTCATAATACAGGAATTTAAAGTTCTTCCAAGAAGCTGTGGGAGATGCAGGAAAGGTAAAAGGAAGTAGTAATGGCCACTAATTTAGACTGGGAAAAATATGGAGGAGAAAGCTTGCAATGGTTATAGTCCTTGTGGCTATACGTCACCCCCAGTATCAGAGATAATATGCATTTATGTCTTTGTACGCACATTACTGGGAAACATGGATGGGAAGATGCTGTTAAACTCATAGTTCTGCTTTTGGGACCTTGTAGGCAGCTGGCTGGCCCCTCTGTGTACAGAATGCTGGACTAGGTCTGATCCAGCACAGCTCTGTTTATATTCTTACGGCCTTATTTTGGGTGGGCTTATTATAGGACTCTTGCCTTCACTTTGTTTGTGGAATGTTTCCTATGCACCTTTGCTTCTCAAAGGGGAAGATTCATCATCCTGCAGGGAACATATGATCCTGCATGTTCATGTTTCAGCTCAACCAGAGGAGGGGAATGGAGAGAGGGGCTGGGAGACCACATCCTGTGCAGAAACGTTGAGGAAGCTGGTTATGCCTAGTCTGGGGAGAAGGCTAAAAGGCAGCATGAAAGCCATCTTCAAATATTTTGAAGGGCTGTCTGTCACCTAGATCTGGAGCAACCTTGCCTTCTGTTACTTCAAAGCAGGGCTTGACAAGCTGGTGTCCTCCAAATGTTAGACTGCAGTTCCCATCAGCCCCAGCTAGCATGGCCAATAGGCAGAGATTATGAAATTTTAAAAACAAACAGGCTAAAATTACAAGGAAGGGGATTTTGAAGATCTACATGAGGAAGAACTTCTTGAGTTCATGAGCTCCTCAACAGTGAAACCGACTGCTTTTGGATTTGGTGGACTCTCCTTCACTTAGAAGATTCGTACTGGAAGAAAGAAATAATAATGAGAAGGAGAAAAATAGTTAAAGGTCCCAAACTCTTCTTGTACTGACTCTCTCCTGTGCCTCTCCTGCTTCCCACAGTCCCTGCTGACCCAGAATTGGTGGGGAGAGATGCACCGAAGCACTCCTGTCTGGAAGCTCCTGCTTACATTCTTCTGCCCGCCTCTCATCTTCACCAAGCTCATCACATTCAGGTGAGTGCTTGTGGGCCATGAGCTGCTTCATTAGCGCTTAGGCAGCCACACTGGGAAGGGTGGTGGGAGGGACGTGTGCTTTGGTGTCTTCCTACTGGCTTGCCTATTTGGAAGCAGCTATTGGTGAACATCAGCACCAACTAGTGTGACTTCTTTGCATGGCCATGCACGGAGTCCCCTTTGCTCCACAGCACCAGCAGTCACTACAAGAGGCTTTCCAGTACTGAATCTGCTCTTCCAGGGAACATTCTGTGATTTCACACCCTGCTCTCTCAGGCCCAGTTTAGCTAGACAGCCTTGACACATGTGTGAAAAAAAGAAAAGAAAGGAAAACTCAGCATAATGTTTGAATAGGGGGAAATGGTTGTGCTCTTGGAAAGGGATGTAGGCAGCAGGGACAGAAGAATAGTCAGGGCTGGAGCTGCAATGGGGGTAGTTTGAAGGAGCCTGGATCCTTAGGGGACAAACTTTAGGGATTAAAGGGCACACTCCCATATGGGTGAGTGATGGGTGGGGGGGCTGCATACTGCTGGTGGTGTTTTCAGAAGGCATTTGAAAGAAGTCACATTTCCTGCTTCCTGAACTGCCTGGGGGCATTTTTTTTCTACAGGGTAGCTGCTACTACTGAGAAGACCCACTGTCAGGGTATTACACTCTGATAATTTTGGAATGACCATTAAGGCCTCCCCTGATGATTCTGAGGGTCAGTTGAGTGTGTATATAAAAGGGAAGATATTTTTTTAAACACACACACAAGAAAACATTAACACGTCCCTTCTTCCATCCCATCAGAAGGAATGTTCCTGACTAGGGTGTCCAGAAAGTACATTGGAGTTGGTATAGTCCAACTCTGAATAGTCTGAGAACCACTGAGACTAAAAGTCATTTTCTTGAATTGGTCTACTAAAATTAAGATAGCTTGGTGGAGGCCAGAGTAAAGTTTTGTTGTGTACAGTGTTCGTCTAAGTCAAGTGCCATTTATTATAATGAGTCTACTCTAAGCTGAATTATCATTGGCTATAAACCATGAATAAAGAAGTATATGCAAGTTCAGAGCTGCCTTGCTCCTCGATTCAGTGTCCACCACCCTCCTTGACACAGGATTGACTGGTAGACCTTGGAGTTTTAGTGAAAAAAGCAGATCTTCAGAGGATGCTTGGCACAGAGCTATTTTGTCTGAAAATTAGGAAATGCGCTTCTTCTTTCAGAATTAGTTTTGGCCTGTATGTACATTTACGTAAATCAAATTGAGGAATCCATTGACTAAGGCTCATGCTAACAAATGGACTAAGATTTATTAAATTGTGAGGGGTGTTCACCCTTCTCCTTTCCACTCTCTCCCCTCTCCTAGCAATTTGGAATCCTCTTCTTCCACATCTCGCCAGTTCTGGTTACGACGGTGGCATCAGTTCTGGGTGGCGCCTGTGACTGCATTTCTGGGTAATGTGGTGATGTACCTGCTGTTCCTCTTCCTCTTCTCCTACGTCCTGCTTCTGGATTTCGACCCCCCTCCTCCCAAAGGCCCATCCGGCTCAGAGATCGCTTTGTACATCTGGGTCTTCACACTGGTCTGCGAGGAGGTGCGCCAGGGCTGCTTCGTGGGCTCCCAACCCCTGCCACAGAGGGTGCGCCACTACTTCTTGGACACCTGGAACCAGCTTGATATCACAGCCCTGCTGCTCTTCATGCTTGGGGTGGCCTGCAGGTGAGCGCATATCCTTGGCTGGGGGTTGTGGTGGAGGCCAGGATGTTTCCAAAAGGTTTTAGCCCTCCACTATCTTCTGCATCTGACCAGTGGCTGTAGCCCTTTCCAGGTCAGTGGGCACCGTTGAAGTTTTGAGATACTGCCATGAGCACTCACATAAAGTGGCTGCCACAGAGGCAGCTTGTCCGTTCATACAGTGGCTGCCACAGTGGGAATGGCTGCCACGATGCACTAATTTCTCAGACAGCAAACTTGTGGAACTAAAAGAAAAATAACTTGCCCAAGGCCCTAAGTACATGGCAAAAGCTAGGTCAAAGCTATCAATTTTAAGAGCCCCAAATAGGACAGATTATTTTAGATTTATATCCCACTTTATTCTTACACTGAACTCAGAGAGGCTTACATCATTCTCCTGTTCTCAATCTTATCTGCACACCAACAGCCCTGTGAGGTAGGTTGGGCTGAGAGTCTGTGACTGGCCCAAAGTCACCCAGTTGGCTCCATGGCTGAGCGGGGACTAGAACCCAGATCGTCTGAGTCCCCGTCCCATGCTCTTAACCACTACACCACATTGACAATGGAAGGGCACACCTTCTCTTTCCAACATACAGTCTCCAAAATCTTAAGAAGTGAAATTAGGAAGGAAGGAAGCTTGCTGAGCACTCAATGGTATGTGCATGGTGCGGATAAGTTGGCAGCATAGGCACCACTTTGGAGTCCCCAAACTACATAAACAGGAAAAGAGCACTGTGTGGCTCTCGAAAGACTGTACCATGTTAAGCTTCAAAGGGGGAGGAAGAGGAATCACATATTTGACTGTGATGCTGAACAAAAAAGCACTCCCTGTACATAGGAAGCAGATAAACCTGGGAGAAAGGTAGCCTAGCTTAGAATCCTTTGCCCTGATACGAGTATATTAGATTTCTACATGTAGAGTGTTTTGACATGGGGAAATATTCAAAGCTATCTTGCACCTGCAAGTAGTACATTCCAACAACAGGTTTAGGAGACATTATGCTGGGAAATGCTGGGAAAAGTTAATCCTCCAACAGACTTTAGTCCTAGTCTCTTTCCACTTGTGGGTAGTGCCACCTACTGGCCATAGAAGAAATTACTCTATTTGGGGCACTTTAGTGCTACCCCTTTAACTGTGAAGTGCCTTAAATGACATTGTAATGGGTGGGATTGATGCCTCTGGACAAGTGAAATGTGTTTGCATTGCAGGGAAATACTGTAATATACAGAATGAGTGACCTTCTTTCCTTGTTCTCTTGCCCCACTCTATGCCTCACAGGCTGTTTCCACAATCATATGAATCTGGACGCACCATCCTTTGCCTCGATTTCATGATTTTCACCCTTCGTCTCATCCACATCTTTGCCGTCAACAAGCAGCTGGGTCCTAAGATGATTATTGTTGGCAGGATGGTGAGAGGCAATATTTGTGGGGCTCATGGAGTGGATGTGCTAAAAGTTGGGGCTTTGCGTGTTAGGAGATCCTTGATTCAAGAATACACAGTGGATGACTCAGGGATTTTAGGTCAAACTGCAGATGGGTGCATAATGAATGTACAAAGAGCTACTGAATATACATACATGCATGCAGATATACATACATATATACGGAGGGGGTGAGAGAAAGAGTGCAAGAAATATGAAAGTGAAAGCAAGTGTGTAGGAGTTAGCAAAAGAAGTTGGGCCACATACTCCTTTTTGGTTACTGTTACTTTTTGTTATTAATAATAACATTTTTCACATATTTATGTTGCAAAAATTGCTTTTTCATGTTGGTTTCCTTTTCTTCATTCAGTTAACCAATGGAACAAATTCCCTTAATTCACAGGCCATATCCACATCCAGCCCCTTTGCTTTGCTTCTTCCTGCTAGTGTAAGCACTAAACCAACCAGGGATCATTTGTTTAGCTTGTTGTCCATACTGTACCAAAAACAGGCCAGGATTGTAAACCAAGAACAAACCCTGGTTGCCAGTCCTCACTTTTAAAAGTGGCCACAAGCCACAATCACCAGTTCATATGTTAGCAGTCAACTTCACACAAAGGAGTAAAGAGTGAACAAACTGGATGTACTAGCATGTGGCTTATTCACAATTAGCCAAGATTCTCATGAACTCTAGCTTGTCATTGTGATGATAAATTAAAATTGAATCATGTTAGTAGAATGTCTGTAATGTTAAAATACATGTGTGCTCCTTAGCTCCTTTCGCTGTGCATGCCTGGGGCAAGGACAGAGGCAGGCGTCTTTCCATATGTCCAAACACTCACATTTGTTTTCTCCTTCATCTCACTCTAGATGAAGGATGTCTTCCACTTTCTCTTCTTCCTCGGAGTATGGCTGGTGGCCTACGGGGTCACCACAGAGGGTCTGCTAGTTCCACATGACCGACGTCTCCCTTGGATCTTCCGGCGTGTCTTCTACCGGCCCTACTTGCAAATCTTCGGACAGATCCCGCTTGACGAGATTGATGGTGGCTATTCTTTGGGGACAGGGTCTCTTCCATGTTCACAATCAGTTCGGGCTGTCCTGCCTCAAAAGGGAATTCTGTTGCATTGGAAAGGGGCCCACAAAAACTATTGGCCAACTGTTTGTTTGTTTGTTTCTTCACTTCTGGAGGAGAAGGGAGGGATGGCTGAATTTCTGTGCTAGGTGCTGAGGAAGACAGAGTGTTTCGTTGCTCCTCTGGAAGCTTGCTCAGTTTTCTTGCACAGAATTTCATGCATGCATTGGATCAATGCTTAAATATAAGGCTGAGATAGTGTAGCAAAGAAAAGGAAATAGAAGAAGGCAATCAAAATGTTTAAAGCAAGGAAGAACGTTCCTATGAGGGGCTTTTTATTTCAGAATAAAAGAGAGATGGTTACAGTGTGAGACATAATGTACTCCATGCTGTTCGTCCTGTTATAAATCTCTGTCAGCAGAAGTTTATAAATGATGAATAGCAGGGGAAGAGTCAACACTGATTTTTTTCAGTACAGTTGAACTCAGGAACACCCAATTAAATAATCAGAAGTAAACCTAGGACGGCCCAAGACTGCTGTCCTCAAAATGAGTTAGATTACAGCTCCCATCATCTGGAATGTACCAGGCTGGGGTAGGCTGGCCCAGAGGAAGCCCTTTACCATACAGTTGGTAATTAATTTGTGGAATTCATGACCATGTGGTGTGGTCCTAGCTCCTAGTTTAGATGGCTTTAAAATGGGATGAGACAAACGCCATTAGTAATCCTAGCTCAAGGGAATCTCCAGATCTAGAGCCAGTGTACCTCAACATCAAATACTGGAGAGACAAACAAGAGGATAGGGGCCACCATTGTTATGTCTGGCTTGCATCTCCCCAAAAGCATCAGGAGGACAACTAGTCTGACCCCTTATGTTCATAGGTTTTATTTAAGACCATGCTTCCCAGCCTAGATCCCTCCAAATGTTTCAGACTATAACTCCTCTTAGCTCCAACCGATAAAGCTAAAGGTTATGATTAGGGATGTACAAATGGTGAAAACTAACTTGTGTCTATCAGATTGTGAGCTACTTTTTTGTTTGTTTCCACAAATGTACACATGGATTTCAGTGTCTTTTCCCAGAAGTGCACATTTCTGAAAACAATGCATTTTTGCCCATTAATTAAAGCATGTCTGTGCATATTTTTTTCCAAAGACCACACTTTTTCATGTGAATTTTTCAAATGCATGCATTTTCAAATGGCATTTTCTTTGGTCTATGAATCACATTGTGAATTTGGAAATGTACAGACCTGGACCACAGATGGCCTTTAAGTCCATATCTGAGTCCAGGAAGTGCAAGCTGGATAAACTGTGGTCTGCAACAAAGAGAAATTACTATCTCACACATCCCCTGTTAGGAAACATCTAGAACAACTCCGGTTGCCTGTTGCAGACACTACTTAGGTAGGGAAGGTCATTTGTGTTCTGAATGTGGCAGCTCTGGTACTAGACAATGGATGGATGGATGGATGGAATGGTCTACTTTATACAGAGTCAAGCCATTGGTGCATCTAACTGTCTACACCTAACTGGCAGTGGCTCTCTATGTGCCAGTCCTAACTGGAGATGCCATAATGTGAACCTGGGGCCTTCTGCATGGAGAGCATATACTCTGTAGCTGAGCCAGAGTCCTCTCATTTAGGCAGGTCTCTTTGAAGGCTGTAGAGTGCTGTGCTCTAAGGATGGTCATCTCGTCTTTCCTTCTGACCTCAGCTGCTCTGATTAGCGCATCAAACTGTACCTATGACCCTGTGGCCATCTTGATGGAGAACGCGAATCCCTGCACCAACACCTACGCCAACTGGCTCGTGCTCATTCTCCTTGTGATCTTTCTACTCATAGCGAACATTCTGCTCCTCAACTTGCTTATCGCCATGTTCAGGTAACACTGTTGGGAGTTCCCACATCTCTTACGAGTGTGTGTGTGGTGGAGGCGGGGGGAGTGCACAAAAACTGGGGAATCACCACTGAGTGGTTGGGGAAAGGGGGGTGTCCAGGGAAAGAGGTTGTGGCCATCATGGAGACCCAAATAATTGAAATTTCAGGCAGGCCAGATTTGCCTTATGGGCCTGCAGTTCAACAACCCTGCAGGAGACAAAGTCATACTCCTGATTGCGTATAATGCTTTTTGTGCTTCATATGAATATGGTGAATATGCAGTTGATTGCAGAAGAAAACATATTTTAGACCAATCTGAGGACAAATAGTTTGCAATATATTTTACGTAAGCGCTGTATTTCTCTGTTGGATCAAGTCCTGGGGGAAGCCACTTTTCCGCTTTGCAGAAAAAGCTGTATTTGCATAGCACTGGCTGACTGACCTGCACTTGCCCGCAGTTCTTGGAGCAGGGCTGTGCAGAGCACTGACTGGCCAGCCCTTCTATAAATCACAGAGCCACCTCCGAGCCTGCTTAGGCCAGATTTCTAAATGTGAAAAAAATGCAACTTGAAAAATGAAAAGGAAGAGAGTGTTGTGAACCGCTCTCCCCCTCATCCCACCACCTTGCATCTTCTTTCCAAGCAGATCAAGACAAGAGACTTCTAACTACAGACTTTATTATGGTAATAGGCTGGCTTTGTGAAACTGCAGGAGTACCGTGCAGAGGTTGTTAGCAAATGTCACTCTGTCTAATTAATGAGACAGCTACTTCTTCAAGTCAAGAAGTTGGTTCCAAGCTGAACTGCCCTGCTCCTTTCCCAACCAAACTCCACCCTGAGGGAGGTCCCTGCCACTTGTCTAGCATTCCCACCATCTGGCCTTCACTCACTTGGCCAGCTCACTCTAGAGGGCATCAGACCATGGGATGTAGTAAATTGCATCTTTCCCACTCTGGCCCTGCCTGTTCAGTGGTGTCTCTCCCTGTAGCAGATGTGGTCTGGCTCTCACCCGCCTCTTGGCTTATCTCAGGGCTTCTTGGCCTTGGTGCTTCAACCAAGCATTCCAACCCCTCCTCCTCTGCCAGTTGCTAGGTATAGTTGGAGGTAACCAACTTGGAATGTTGTGTATGTGTGTGCGCGCACGCATGTGTACTGGAGCAAAATGGAACTGGAGCTTGCGCTGCAGCAACCTCTGCCTGCTCTCTGCTCTTTTTTCATGTTCCCCTGTGCCTGGATTACAGTTGTGTAAGATGTTTCTCCCCCACTCCAACAGTTACACATTCTCCAAGGTGCAAGGCAATAGTGACATCTATTGGAAATCCCAGCGCTACAACTTGATCCTGGAGTACCACAGCCGTCCCGCTCTGGCCCCGCCCTTCATCCTAATCAGCCACCTCCACCTTTTCTTCAAGCGTCACATCCGCAAGGTTCAGTCATCCAAGGGATGCCACTTCTGTGAGTGCTGTGAGGACATTATGGGAAATCTCCTAGCTGTCTTTTCTCTTCTGTCGCTACCCCTTTCCATCCTTCTCTGCGTTCTCACAACAATGTGATCCTGGCATAGACATGCCTCTCCCACACACGCTCCTCAAGAGCAAGAACATCCATGCTCATGACATACCAGTCCCCTGAATATGGAGGCTTCACAAAGTCACCAGAACACAAAAAAGGAACGCCCCAATTTTGAGAAATGGTAGGTGAGGTGGTGGAGAGGGAGGAGGAGGAGGCCTCCAGCCACAGAGAAATGCTTTGTTGAGTCCAGCATGCTTTGAACACCTTCAGGGGTACTTCAGTATGAGCAGTTCTCGTAGAAGTGGCCCTGACATAAATGTGCAGACCTCAGCTGCTTAAGAACGCAATCTTATTTATTTATCATGTTTGTTTGTTTTGTTACATTAACACACGGCCAAAGTAACAAATGCCCTCAGGACTGTTTGCAATCATAAACCTCCAAAAGAACAATAAATTAACAGAACAACATAAACAAAACAAAACAATGAAATTATCAAACTATTTCAACATATTAAAGATCCTGCTGTAAAGTTAATCATGAAGGCATCAGAGTAAACACCTGCTGGAAGAAGGTCTCTGCTTGGCAACTAAATATAGGCCAGCAGGATCTCCCTAGGGAGGGCATCCCACAGATGAGGTGCTGCTACAAGGAAGGCTCTTTCCCTGGTAAACCCCCATCGCACCAGTTTGGATAGCGGCATGTGAACTCAGAAGGAAGCCCAGCTGGGGTCAGTCAGTGGAGCTCACTTTTGTTAAGTGGGCATCACGTTCCAGCTTTCATCTCCAGTTCCACAGTATAAGCAGTGTGGTGGTCATGGGCACCAATTGCCCTCCAATGTCTTTCTGGGCACTGCTGTTGCCATGAATGTCTGTGAGCCACTTGGTGGGGCACAGAAGCATTCTTAGGAGATTACGATGGGCTGGTGCGGGGGGGGGGGGGTGGCGGCAGCCATTTTGTGGTGTTGGCTGTTCATGGCAAAGGACCTACCTAGCTCTGAGGCAGCTCTGCGTCAGAATACTTTGCAGCAGAACCATTGGCCAAAGGCTGGAACTGCTCATACTGAAGTACCCCTGAAGATGTTCAAAGCATGCTGGACTCAACAAAGCATTTCTCTGTGGCTGGAGGCTCCTTCCTCCTCCCTCTCCACCACCTCTCCTACCATTTCTCAAAATTGGGGTGTTCCTTTTTTGTGTTCTGGTGGCTTTGTGAAGCCTCCATATTCAGGGGAGTGGTATGTCATGAGCATGGATGTTCTTGCTCTTGAGGAGCGTGCGTGGCAGAGGCAAAGTGTCCCTGTGTCCGGTTGGTGGGCTTCCCAGTGGTGCAGTGGATTAAGTGCTCTGAGGGCCTGGATAGACTCTTGGTAGGATCTAGGAGGCTGCTCTTACGTTTTAGCTCTGGCAGTTAGAGCCTAAATTACTCAGAAGTGTTGCATTCCAAGCAAATTCTGAAAGCTCTGAAACATATTCAAATTCTATACTACATCTTCCTGAAGTTTGCTTGAAACCCCATTGGAAGAACTGTGCTCAATATTTGATCAGGTTTCCTGAACCAGTTGACCTTCCTGAACCCATTGATGACCTACAGTTCCCACCATCCTTGGCTACAGGCTGGGGATGATGGAAATTGTTCAACACAACCTCTGAAGGGCAATCCCTTGAGAAAGGCTGCTCTAAACTGTTTCTGTGTTTAAAAGTTTAATACCTAATTAAGGGTGGATTCAGTTTGCAAATCATTCAAAATGCCCCATCCTGAACATGCAGCTTTCTCAACATGCACACCTGTTGAACCACCCCTGCTTTTGTCTATGGGGGAAACTTGCATCATTTTGGAATTTGTGTGACTCTGGGAATTGCTTACATACTTTATGTTCAATAGGTGTTTGTTTTGTACAATTTTCCTATTTGCACAAAATGAACAGCAAGGAGAGTTAAGCAGTAAGCTGGTGTTCAGAGAATCCTGGTGAACTTAACCAACACCTCTTCACCTGTCTCTGTTCTCAGTTCACACCCTTCTCACATGGTCTTTCCCCTTCTCCCTTTCACCCTGTATCTAATTATGTTTTGGGCAGTGCTGGAACTGAGTGAGGCTGAGGATGGACATCTGCTCACGTGGGAATCAGTGCAGAAAGAAAACTACTTAGTTGTTCAAGCCCGGCAGAAACGTGACCTGGACACAGAGCGGCTCCGGCGAACCTCCCAAAAGTGAGGATTAGGGAGGGCAGGCTGGGGATTAAGGAGAACTGAAAGGAAAGCATGGACAGGTTGCAATTAGAGATGATCCATTTTTAAACAAACTTTTAACAAAATCTATCAATTTAAAAAGATAATGTATTTATATAAAGTTAATACAAATTCAAATCATATAGAACAAAGTTAGAATTTTGAATCTTTCCTTGAAATAAGTAAAATTATACAAATCTGCATAAAATTATGTAACTTAAAATTGTGAAATCTTCCCCACATGGCACAACATTTTCTTTGGAGAATTTCTCATAACATCAGTTATTGTAGATGGAGAATAATGTCTATCTTGCTCACAAAATGATAGATTTTCTGTCTTTTTATTCAGAACCCAGTTCTGTTCTGTTTCTGTAGTAATCTGTGCTCTTTAAAAATCCTCATGAGAATTTGTATTTACATATCATATTTTGAACTATTTCCCCAAAATATGCATCTGTAAATAACTTTTTATCTGAAAGTATTATTTCTTAATATACTTTGTCCTAAAATTTTGAATTTCAAACTTTATGTGTGGATGCTAATGTTAAGTGTTATTATTATTTTGTGGTTTCATGGATTCTGTGCAATTTTTTCTCCATTCCAAAAATGCCTCTCATAAGACATAGTTATCTAAGGTAGGTTAGGCTGAGAGTCAGGAACTGACTCAAAATCACCCAGTGAGCTTCATGGCCTAGTGGGGATGAGAACCCAGCACCTCCAGAGTCCCAGGCCAAGATGCTAACCACTACACCACTCTGGTTCCTGAAATTCGTTGGCGATTTGGCCATGTCATATTTGTCTTCAAGCCATCCACCACTGGAATGTGGCCTCTGAGAATTTCTCAGAAATGGAATCTGGCCCTTATGCCAAAAGATGTTGAATATCAGTTTCATGATTCTTTTCCTAGTGAAGGAGAACATGGGAATAGAAGCTAGGCATCCACCAGAGGGGTGGAAGGGTGGCTTCTGGAAGGGTGCAAGGCAGCATCTCTCCTGTAACTACCTCACCTCTCTGACCTGCAGAGTCGATCAGGTTTTGAAGCAGCTTTCTGAGATCAAGGAATCAGAACGGCGCCTGAGAACCCTAGAGACACAGGTATGAAAAACGGTATGATGGGGTTGGCCAGGGCAGGGAGGGAGTTTTTGGGGGATGCTGGAGATGAAGGCATCCAGAATGGCACCAGCTGGAGGATGGGGAGCTGCAGCACAGTCTATGGGCTGTGTAAGATAGAAGGGAGTGTGGGAGATCTGCACTTCTATTGAAACATAAAAGGGCATCTCTTCAAAATGTCCCTCCTGCCAGAGACAGCAACGCCTCCTAATTTCTTCTCCATTTACTTCCACAAGATGGAGTACTGCACCAAGGCCCTAACTTGGATGGTTGATGTCTTGGCCCAGAGTGATGTGGCCAAAGGGAGGCAGGCTCCTCCCTTTCAGAAAAAAGGTGAGTAGATGGGTGGACCCCAGAAATTTTAAGGACATGTACCACTGGCTGAATGTGTGACCAGTGATCCTGGTGTACCAGGAGGGGTGGAATCTCTTTCAGCCCAAGTGTCAAATTCAATTCCGGAAAAGCTCTTGTGGGCCATATTCCAGTGGCAGATGGGGCCAAAGGAAAAGGGGTGAGGCTTCAATTTAGATTAAACTGGTAATGGTGCCCTAGGAGATACATGTCAGGTCTTTTAGAATAGGGAAATTATGCAAAAGTTCGGAACCACCCCATCATTGGCAATTGAGGGAAAGGGGTAAGGGCAGGAGAAGGGTGTTTGGCTCTCTGGGACACCCCAGGTAAGCCGAATTTGGCTCACTGGCTTGATGTTCAACGCTTCTGCAAGATGCAATGTCATCTGTGTGGATCACCCTGCATGCATGGCTGCCAGTACTTCAAGAGCCTGTGCTTGTATATATATGAGTCAATTTGGCTGTTTTGCAGACTTCTCCATAAATTAGCCTGTAGTCTGGATAAGACAAATAGCTTGGGTTTTAGTCATGGAAGAAAGCCCCATAAACCACTGTAGACACCCTGTTCTCCTTCAGAATTGTGTGTCTGTCATGCTTCCCCAACCATACCCTCTTCTTACTCCCTCCTCAACAAAGTTGATTTTGAGTTGGAGACAAATATAGTGGAGGCGGTTTTATCTCATTCAGACTTTTTTCCCCCCTATTCTGCGGTGAACTCTGACAATCCCTGCAAGTTTCCACATATTTTCAGTTTGGTTTCAATTAAACTGGGGAAAGTGGGCTGCACTGGTGGCCTATTGGTTAGAACTCCTGATATCAGCAACACAGCTTTCCATCAGCCCGACCTGCAGAGGAGTTTCACTAGCTGAAGAGAATAATAGCAGGAGGAACCATGTGCCTATCTGCCTTCCACAATCCTCCCCTGACCGCTACAGAACTCAACCACCTTCATCCTTAGCCATCCCCTCTCTCTGCTGCAAGCTCACTTCTGAGGGCCAACCAAATCAGCCAGAGGGATGACCATTCTGATGATGCCAGCAGATGGGATCGGGGTGGGATTTATATTTGCTCTAGGAGGAAACATCCCTCAAAGTCTGGTCTCTAACTCACTTTTGGCCTACCTACTAAGCCAAGGGTTGGCAAGTTGAAGCCTTCCAGCTATTGTTCTCCTACAACTCCCATCAGCCCTCCTCAGCATAGCCCATGATGAGACATGATGGGAGTTGCAGGCCATTAATATCGGGAGGGCCATTCCTGTGCTAAAGGTACACTTGGGATGCAGTGCTCCTTGGTGGATCATTCTGCTCCCATGGTTGAAAGTTCTCATTCCATTCTGTCCCTTCTTTCCCTGCAGACTGAATTTCTCCATGGAACCACAAGAAGAACTGGCAGTATCTGAAGAGAGGTATGCTGCTTGTGTTACCTGCCACTCTTCAGACCCCAGGCATGTCTCATTGCCCAAGAACTGGGGGAATTCAGCAAAGCCTAGTTTATCAGAGGCCTTGTCACAGGTTTTGAGGGGTGTACTTACGAGTCCATGATGTCCCTATCAATTAGAATGGGGGAACAACCCAGAATACCCACACACTTGAAAACCAGCTCTCTACACACAAGGTATGTGTAGAGCTATGGGAACTAAGGGACCATTCTGTGAATCTTGAATTTCTGCTATTGTTGGACCATTCTGCACTTCTTACACTCGCAATGAACAAGGCATCTAACCAGAAGATTGTGGAAAGGTTGTTGATTCAAGTTTCAGTGCACCGCACCAACACATTCTCTGCCTTAGCTTTCATTTCTATAATAGGAACAATAATGATCTACCTCGCAGGGTTGCTCAGAGAATGAATGTGATTTGGGCCTTTCTTGATTTATTTAAGGAAAAGATAGTACATGCTACAAGTACAATGGACTGGATAATTTGCTTCACATGAATCTGCTACTGATTAGATAGCATTCACTTCTGCATGATATGCAAGAGCAAGGGGGACCAGGACACTCATCAAGAGAATGACTGGGAAGGGACCTCATTAAGTCAGGGGTGGTGATCTGATACCTTCCAAACATTTAAAACTATGTGTCTGATAATTCCTGGCCATTAGCCAAGCTGCCTAGGAGCTGCTGGAAGTTGTATTCTCAAACCTGGAGGGCCCTAGGTCACCAGCCCTGGCTCAGTGGAAGAGCATGTGCCTTGCTTGAAAAAAGCACCCCGACCCCCGGTAAGTCCCTGGCCTTTCAACTTAAAGGGATCATGTGGTGGTTTGTGGTTGAAATTATCCTTGCTCGAGACTGGTGCATCGGAATGGGCAGCATTGGCTCTGACCTGCCTGGTTCCTGTATGGCTCTCTTCCCCTTAACTCTTGATGTACACAGTCCAGCTTGCCACCCATCTCCCAGGGGCTTGACTGCCTGCTGTCTCATTCATGGTTCTGTCTCGACAGCAGAGCAGCTGAAGAATCACCTACGAACAGGGAAGACTGGTTGGCTGGCAGACTCAAGGCCATGTGTGGGAGGCCACGTTCTACAATGGGGGTGGCCAGAAGGTAGATCTTGACCCACCGGTAGTCTGCCTAGTGCAGGTACACTGAACCTTTTTTGATCCAAGGACCAAATTCCATGTCCAAGAAACTCTGACGGGCAGTGCTGAAGGGGAAAAGGGCAGCCCCACTGCAATAGGATGTTGTACATTAAGGCTTTGACCAGTCAAAGGCTGCTGCTGCGCTAGTAGCATATTGATTCTCACTTTTTTGTCCCTATACTCATGGGAACTTGTCCAGCAGTTTGAAGATTAAGCAGAAAGCAAAGTACTGATTTTGATTAGATTTTATCTGATTTTGTAAAAAGACTTGCAATAACCACTGAAAGTCAAAGGTCCCTTCCAAGATAGAACAAGTAATGCAACTTGGATTTGTTTATTTTTTAAAAGAACTTTTTATTGTATGTTTTGGTTTGTAAACAGCCTTTGTTCATGAATGAAAACTGAATGGAAGAAGGATATTTACAAATCAAAACACTCAAGCATTCCATTCCCCTTACCCTTCCAGACAACTTTCATTGTCCAAAAAAATACATTTTTTTCTAGTGCTGCTAGTGCAATATTCAAGATTTGTAAAAGGTGGTGTTTGTTTTTTGAGACTGTCACAATAAGAGAAGGATGCTCTAATGCTCTTATATTTTGTAATAGATTGAAGTGTCTTTGATACAAATTTTATTAAAACATTAATAAAAATGTACTGGAGACTTGTACTGTTTTTAGAACCAATAGTCATCACTGTGAACCTCCCCCAAGTCTAAAAACAAGTGTCTTTGGCCATCCCAACAGAAGTGAAATCTACCTGGCGCTCTTGGACTAAATGTGAGACAAGATGGTGAAAAAGGAGAGAAAGAAAAGCATGTTCTGACATCTCAAAGATGACAAAAGGGACATGACTGCAGTACCCCATTTTCACTTAGTCAGCTCTACCATCCTCCACTGTTACCCACTGTTGTTAGTTCTTTTCTTTCTTCTGGCTGTATTCATTTATTTTGCCATCTTTCTTTGTTAAACAATTGTCCTGCTATATATAATCATCAATAGTTCAAAATAGACTTCAGCATATATGTAATATATTATTTCCTTTCTATAGTGCCCAATAGCCAAAGCTCTCTGGGTGGTGAACAAACATTAGAAGCCACAAATACAAGGTAATAGAAGCTTAGTATAAAATTTTTAACACAGAGAACTGAAATTCATTTTTACAACAGCTAAATACAGTACAACACCAAACTTAACTGTTTAAAAATGACATAAATGCTGCATCATATGCTGCAAATGCCTGTGAGTAGAGGGCAGTCTTAACTTGGCACCAGAATGGTGACACTTTTGGAATCAGGCAGACCAGAGTGAACAGACCATTCCATATTTCAGGGGCTATCAACAAGAAGGCCCTGTCTTTTGTTGCAACCTTCCAAGCTTCCTTGGGACAAAGAACTCAGATGTTGATCATTGTACCTGGGTAGGTTCATGTCAGGAATGATGCTTACACGGAGCATATTGCAGCGATCCAACTATGGCAAGCTATGCAGTGCATACTGCCTTTCTGATACTGTATATGCATTGATATTTTGAATGCTCTAGTGACTCAGTCAAGAGCTTTAATTCGCAGGGAGGAAACTTTGGACAACTTTGTATTGCTGTACCACATACAGTGGCAAGATCACCACCATCATCATCAGTTTGTCACCAAATTTGGCAGCGAACCATTTCTGTGCCTCTCAAGGGCCACACTCGAAAACAAGCTAAACGTTTTAGTTTTATTTTATTATATATTTATTTAGATCCAGAGGTCAGAGACAAGATCTGAGGGCAGGGCATGATCCTGGAGCTCACACTTGGCTGGCTACCAATGGACAAAGTCTGTGGTCCCCTTGGCAGCACAACGACACTGAAAAATTGCCTATTGCCACCATGGAAAGTTCAGCTGTTGATCCTGCTGGCCTTTATACATGGGACATCCAAGTGCATTTTGTCCTTCACTTCTCACAACAGAAAGTCTTGGGTCGGCCCTGTTTCACCGTGTACCTTCATGGCATCTCTATTGGCTCTTTGGAGAATAAGGCTTTTCTGTCGGTTATGGGTGCTTTCTTAATCTCATAATTACAGCTCCTTCTTTAAACCAAAGTGGCGCCCAAACCAGTTAACAATAATGCAAACAAACAATTTCAGCAAAAGCATTTAACCCACCACCAAACACACAAAATTTAAAGCATTGGATGGGCCATGCTAGGAGTGCAAAGCCTTTCTGTCCAAACATGCATAGGAGTGCATCTTTAAGCACTTAAATTGGGCTTTTAAAACGATAGCCAGGCTCTTTTGCAGACAGCACTTTCCATCGGTGCATCCTGAGCTGCCACTACAAACAGAAGGAGAGAGAAACTTTCCTTGACCTTTTAGCAGTAGCACCCTCCTCATGAAGAAAGAGGAGCAACAGAAAATACCGGAACGAATTCGCGAGCGTTAATACGCCCGCCGGAACTCTGTCGCGAAGTACACCCAGTACGATTCAAACCGTAGAGATAGGAAAAGTGTAGAATAGCACATAATCATTAACTGTGAGGTTGAGCCGGAATGATGCCGCTCTAAGAAATACTTCGCTAGAGGGCGGGGGCGAGCGGGGAGCGAGGCTTCTTTTGCATGGCTCGGAGCGCGCAGGAGACTGTCGTGCGACTGTTGCTGCAAGTGAAGGTGTGTTCGGGATGGATTGGTTGAGGCTGGAAATCTGGTCCAGCCACCTGAGAAGGGGGGGTGGAATACCGTCTCCTGCAGCCTTCTCCAAGCTTGTATTGTCCAGTTGCGTTTGCCTGCAACTCCCAGCATCCCCTCGAAAGTGGGACGACACCAGCTTGTAGAAGGCGTCTTCTTCGCTGTTTAACAACCGCTGAGATTTCCTCCGAGTAAAGCGATTGGGTGACTCCACAGGGGGCGGATAGTGTGGGGGCGCCTGCCGTTGATTGCAACCGTAGTCTGGTAGGGGAGGCAAAAGCGGTGGTCGGGGGCGGCCCACCAGGGCTGGAAGCCATCTGGGAATCCACATTCCTCCCTGGGCACTCGCTGAAATAAAAGTACAGAGGCCCTGTTGGTCTCTGTTGTGTCTGATCCTTCCGGAATGGTTGGCTCTTTGCCCACTTGGGCTTCCCCTCCGGCAGCTCGCGCGTTGAATCTTTCTGCTTGAGCTTTCTTCCCGAAATTAAATGCCTTTCTCTCTTCTGTTCGCTTATTCCTTTGCACAAATAGGTGTCCTTGCGAGGCAGGTTCCTTTAAACCCACGCACGTGCACCCACTTCAGAACACATGTGAGCTAGCATATTCAAATGTGTGTGGTTTGTTTGTATGACCCGAAATCCTGTACTTTTCGGGGGCTAACAAATCCCTTCCCTACCACTTATTGTTGAAATCAGATTTAACCGGGACAGCCGACAGGCTTCAAGGATACACACACCTGCTTTCCCATATTTATGTGTGGGAAAGCTGGAGGTCGGACTCCCGCGGCTAAGGGACAGATCAAGCAAGAGGAACGTCGTCAAAATGAATCGGGGAGGCCTGGCTTGTGCCTCTTTTTGCATAGTCCTGTATAACTCTCTGCTTATTTACTCGGAAGTAAGCCGGGCTACATTTAGCCGGGCTTCACTGCGGGATAAGCGTGCATAGGATTGCAGCCGCAGGCTTTGGGTGTCACACACCAGCCCTCTCTTGATTGGAGCTTTTGGTTAAGAAATGGATGTGACTTTTCATTTCGTTAAACGTTTCTAAAGTCACTGCACAGGTGCCAAGAAAGAAAGCGAAGCCCCTTTGCTCCCATTGGGTATCATGGCCAAAGGCACAATTCCTCTAGAAATTCAGATGTTGTACCACTCTACTGTTTTCATCTCTATGCTTCCCTCCACTGGTATCGTTCTCCCGCTCTTGACCGTCCGAGTGTGTCTAGAGTTCACTTCCGGATGGGGACGGGAAACGATGTAACACCACTATTTGGCTTTTCCATAGAGGATGCTTCGTCTGCATCTTCCTTGCTGGGAGCAGTAGCAGCAGGGGGCGGTTTTCTCCTTAAAATATGGGGCGAGCGCCTCTGTCAGCATAGGATTCTTTCCGAAATTCAAGTCTATTTTGTGTCAGCCCATACTTATTAAGGGAGCCCTTAAGGTACATCTTTTTCCTCCCACTTAATATGGGTGGTTTATAGACATGTTCTTATCCTGGCATTTCAAACCTCAAATCAAGTGCGAGGCGGTTTTGCTCTTTCCTTATTATGAAAAGACCCATCTTCGTAAAAACACATGTACATTATAGATTATGTGGTTCAGTTTTCTTATCTGTTTGCTTTTCACAGGACTACTCAAAATTTAATGCACATTTGCTCATCGTACTGGGGTTCATGGCATAACTACATTTCTTCCTTTCACTACCCCTTCTAGAAGGGGAACTTAAATAGCAGTTGTCGTAGAAAACAGATCTTGTTTCTTCACTTACTTCATTTGACCTACCTGCGTTGCCTTTTTCCAAATCGGCTTGTAATTTCTCAGGGCAGAACTCTCCTAATTTAGCCCCTCCTCCTTTACCACAATTCCCTACCTAAGTTCAGGATTCGTTCTTAGCACAGTACATATTTCTATTCCCTGCCTTTTTGGTGGGATCAACTTTTTTTCTGAAACAGAAGATTTTAGATTCCCTCAAATGTATTGAGGAATGGGGAGAGGTTTGACTATTGTCCTGTGCACCAAAAGAGGAAAAGTTGTTTTATGACTGTCAAAGAACAGCACTGTCAGTAACCCAAACTGTTCCTTTCTATTTGCAGGCCATGCGGTGCCTCCTTATCAGTCAAGACAAGCGACATAGTCCAGTTCTTCTCCCTGATGGTGTGACTGTGATTCTAGGAAGAGGGCCTGAAACACTCGTTACTGATAAAAAGTGTTCCCGGAAACAAGGTAAGTAACTTTTCTCTTATTAGAAGCATTTGCTGCTAACACAAAAAATTGTGTGCACATACACACACAGCCTTATTGCATTGCATCTTGTCTAAGCAGCATCTTGAATGATCTGTCATTTTTTGCATTCTGTTTGCCAGATGTCTGCACTTCAGATTGGATTTAGCATTGTGAGAGTAGACTTTCCCTGCGAGAAATAATACTGGCAACTTTTTCCAGATTTGAGGACTAGCTCTTTTAAGCTACAGAGAACCAGGGGGGTTCAGCAGCTACTGGGATGGGCAGACTGAGGAGCAATGGCCTGCTCAGATCTTTGCATGACGTTTCCTGCATGACCTTGAGCCAGTCATTATTTCCCAACCTAACACTTACTTTGCATGGTTGTTGTGAGGATAACATGGAGATGAGGCCCATGTAAAGGGCCCTCAGTGCTGCAGTTGGGAAATTAAAAGCTTAAAAGTCTAACTGCCCTTTAGATGGTAATGTGTATTATTTTGCTTTCTTCAAAATGTGGTAAACAAAATGTGTTTGGAGACACACACCCCTTGTACATTTTCTGAATGGAACCCTAGAGCACAAAAACCTACCCTGATGGCACCACTGCTGTTCTGAGCTCCAAGGAAGAAATAGCGGACTGCAAGCACATATTTACCTGCTCTTGTTTTGCAGCCTTTAATCTTGCGAATTTCCCTATATACCACAATATGCAATTCATGACTCCCCAGATCTTGTTGGATTGCAACAGGAATGATCCCTCACCGTTGGTTATGCTAGCTAGGATTGATGGGAATTCCTGTGATATATCGCATTTCTATACCTACCATAGCTGAAGCTCTCTGGCTGCACCTAGGCCTCTCCCAGTCTACTGTCTATGTATCCTTCTTCACTAACAGCCTCATCAGTTGTAATTTTCTGGTTCATCATCATGAATGGATTTAAATGTTTCATGCATGGAATGTAGATTTTCTAAGTTATAACAAGCCCTATTTTCTTTTTGTGTATTCTCACAGTGGAGTTGCTGGCAAATTATGCCTACCGATCAGTTCGAGTCACACAGGTAAGAGGGGGAAGGTTCAGAGGGTGATGGCTTCAGGTGGGCACTTCAGGCAACGGTTGCAGGTTGGCCTGTCTCCTGGGCCTGAGGGGCAGCAGCCTCCAAGGGAGGCCCTCTGACCTTTTTGGTGTGTTGGCAGCGAGGAGTGAATCCCACATCTGTGGAGGAGATACACCTGCGCTGCGGGGACAGCACAACCCTCCAGGAGGGAGAGACTCTGTGCTTGGTGAATGGACTGTACCCATATCACATCCGCTTTGAGCAGGACTCCAGCTCTCCAAGGAAAACTCTGCTGCAGTTCTTCAGCCCCAAGCACGGCCTGAAGAAGGAGGATGACAGCGGCAGCGCGGCCCGGCCAGCCAAGCAGCCAAAAGTCTCCCCACCTTCTGAGGATGTGGATGAAGATGAACTATCCGTGGCTGAGAAGCTGAGGCAGCTTCAGGAGATGGCAGCTCGAGCAGAGCTGGCCCGCCCACTTCCCCCGCACCGTCCCCCCAAGCTGACTCCCCAGCCCACTGATTCCTGGGAGGATCATGGCAAGCTCTTGGTCTTCACAAGGAAAGGAGTGATGCCCAGCACCAAAGTAAGAGCCAAAGGCTGTTGCTCAGGGGAAGTTGCCAGGTGGCACTGCTTACCTGGGGACTGCTTAAGGAACGTTTAACTTTGTGGGCAACTTGTAGCCCTCCAAATATTTTGGACTACAGCTTCCAAAGGAGGAGGGAAAGAGTGGGTGCCCACTGCTAATGTGTGAACAGGCTGCGCCAGGGATTAACCCGAAAGAAGGTGGCCTTCCAAAGAATAAAGGATCCTTGGCTGTGATGTAGATTAAAACAGAAGCGCCCTGCTCGATCACTCCAAACACCTACCTAACCCAGCCTTCCCTCTGGACAGTGCTGACCAAATGCCCCACTAGGAGGGCCATAAACAAGACCTGAGCATAGGAAGGCCAGGAAGTGACTGTGCACCCAGCCAAAGCATGGATGCATCCAGCCAGTATTGCCAACACTGAACAGCAGCAACTTCCCAGCGTTTCAGGCAGGATTTCTTCCCTGGCCTTTCCTGGAGGTACCAGAGCTGAACCTGGGACCTTCTTCATGCAGGGCTGGTGCTGTGCCACTGAGCAACAGGATCTTCCCACTCCTGTTGCCCAGCAACTGACACACAGAGATGTACTGTATATTAATCCCGTTTAAAGCCATCCAAGCCATGGCTGCATCTTGTAGCAAATTCCACAGGTGTGCTGTACTATGAGTGAAAGCGCACCTTTGTCTGCTCTCCCTCTTTCATCATTCAGCTTCAACATCTCACCAGAGGTTCTATGTGTATGAGTCACATGTGCATCTCCACTTTCTCCACATCACCTCTAATCGTGTGCACCCTGATCATGTTCCCTGCTTCATTGCCTTTTTCTAAGACACCGCGAGGGGGCTATACAGCAGTTTCAGCCTCTGTCCCAAGCCTTCAGTGAACCTAGGAAAGCACCTGGTCCCTTGCATGTTTCCCCAGGACCAGCAGATGGTGCCCCCTTTGTGCAAAGGTTGCGTCGCAAAGGGCACATTGAAATTGGCCGGGTATGGTCATCCTGCATCCTTTGCTTGCAGACCTGTCTTAGAGATCTGGTAGGGAGACCTTAAAACCCGTTTTAGCTAGGCTAAGCCAGGGAGGGCAGAAGCCACTGCGCTCAGCAGGGCAGCGAACTCATGGTGATGGGGAGGTGAGGCACAAAGTCAAGCAAAACAGGTCTCCCGCCATCAGATTCCATTTTGCCTTTTTTGTCTAGATTGCAGGATTTGATCTGGATGGAACCCTCATTACAACACGGTCGGGGAAGGTGTTTCCTACAAGTCCTGATGACTGGAGGTGAGCACAGAGCTGAACGCCGGAGCAGAAAAGGCGGTGGGAGGAAATTGCCAGCAGCTAGTGTGACTTACTGAAAAATGAGTCAACCTCCTGTCTTGCTGCTCCTGGTTTATTTGTTTATATTTGTTATATTTATACCCCACCTCTTTTCCTTTCAAGAAATTCAGGGGCCTTACATAATTCTCTTCCCCTCAATCAAGAACAACCCAGTGAGGTAGGTGGGGCTGAAAGTCTATGACTGGCTCAAAGTCACCCAGTTGGTTCTGTGGCTGAGCAGGGACTAGAACCCGGGTCGCCTGAGTCCCAGGCCAGCCCTCTTAACCACTGCACCACACTGGTTTGAGTCCCCACTTTCTGTGAAGTTCATTGAACAATTGCTATTGCAGCATGACCAGGATTCTGTTGCAGAGAAGGCATGGGGCAGGACAGGGGGACGCCACCCATGTGTACCATCCTGGGCTTCGTGGAGGAGACGATACTAAAACCACAATCCTGACTGGGGCAAGCTGGTGGTTGTAGGCATATTTTCTGTCTGAGCAGGCCTAGAAATGTGCCCTAAATAATAATGTAAGGCAACCTTTCCTGCCTTTCCAAGGTGATGGCCTAAAATCCCCATTGATCTCCCACCAGCATGGCTGGGAGGTGATAGGCATTGTAGTCTAATACCTCTGGAGGGCACCAGGTTAGCAATGGCTGTGGTAAGGGAATGAGATAACCTTGATTTTTAATCTCACCACTGTTTTATGGCATTTCTATTAGAGAGTTTCTGCTGCATTTTATTGCTGTTTTTAATTGTTTTAACATTCAATATAGTTTGTCTTGATTATCTGTTATCTGCCCAGAGAATATTTGTTAATGGTCAGTCATATCAGTCTAATCAAAAGAGAGCCAACGGCATAGTGGCTGGAGGGCCAGAGCATAAGCAGGGAGACCCGAGTTCAAGTCCCAACATTCAGGTCTGAAGTCCATGGGCAGACTTTGAGCCAGTCGCTCTCTTTTACCTTGACCTACTTGACAGGTTGTTGGGAGGATAAAACCTGGATGATCCATGTACTGAGCTCCTTGGAGGATACCTGTGAAAAAAATATAAGAGATTAAAAACAAAAATGGTGGAAGTTAATCCTTCCAAATGAGGGGGAAATCAAAAGCAAGGGGCAAAAGGTTGGTGTTTACTTTATGGGGCAACCAGGACTTGTACTGCAGTGTCCACATCATTTTTTCCAGACTCTGCTAGCAGCAGTCATACCCTGTCTGTGGGGGGATTAACACATGATAATGGGCCTTAACCCTTCTCTGCTTTGCAGGATCCTGTGCCCTGAGGTACCCCGTAAGCTGAAGCAGCTTCAGAGTGATGGGTACAAGGTATGATCCCTACCTGAGTCGCTTCCTTCAAACCACTTTCCCATTTTCTCGCCTTTAATTACTGCTGTGTTCTTCTTTCTGCTCTGCCCCCCATCCCTCCCCTTTCCTCTCCCCCAGCTTGTGATCTTCACCAACCAGCTGGGCATCAGCCGTGGACGCCTCAGGCCTGAGGTTTTCAAAGCCAAAGTGGAAGCAGTGATTGAGCAGTTTGGCCTCCCGCTGCAGGTGAGTTGGCAATGGCACTGCTTCTCCCAGAATGCTTTGCAGGATAAACAATAAATGCAGTCAGGGCAAGCCTCACGGAATCAAGCAATAATGGTTGGACTAACTCTATATATGAGTTAGTCCAATATATATATATAAAACCATAACATACATACATACATACATACATACATATATATATATATATATAAAAAACCATAAAAGAGGCTCTGAATCTGCCTGTCTGTCCATCAACACGCAGCACCAAGACCATGAAACCTAGATGCCTGAAACTCAATACACATTCTAAGGGGATACTACAGGTCTGCGACCCAAGCTTGTTTGGCTTTTACAACACTTTGATTAATTTTGATAATTTAAATACGCTCTTCTGGTTGAAGTCTGCAGTTACACCCCTGACCACCAGAGGCAGATTTCCCTAAGCAACTCCTAGCTTTGCAGTCCATATAGTTTGAAGCCAGGAAGGTAATAGGCCAAGGGGCACGGTTATGTATCTGCCTCTTCCCACTGCTGTCAGGCAGCCCCTCGGGAATGGAGCGAATGCAGCCCTCTCCTGGGGGGCTGTAGGCTTGTACCATGTCAGGGGCCATACCTGGAAGTGCCAGTGGATATGACGTCACTGAAGCAGGGTGGGCACAGTGTCTCCAACTCTGCCAGCTGCATCCATTTGCTGGAAAGCGTTGCTGTACCGAAGTAAAGTGTGTGGTGATCATTGAGGAAAAGGCAGAAGAACTGTATTGCAAACCAGCCTTCTCCTAGTTTGGGGCCCTCCAGATGGATTGGACTTCTGCTCCCATGATTCCCAGTCAGGATGGCTGGAACTAATGGGAGCAGAAGTCTGGTGTCCCTGGAGAGGGTCAGGTTGGGGAAGCTGCTATAAATAGATGGTGCCTGGTGTTTGATGTCAACCCTGTTACCTCCGCTGCCTTCCTTTCCCTGTAGGTCTTTGTGGCGACCAGCTCAGGCATTTACCGCAAACCTGTCCTTGGCATGTGGGATCACCTGTGTGAGAAGGTACTGGGTGGAGACGGGCCAAGGAAGGGGTCTCTGTCCTTATGTAACTTGACTCTTCTCTCTACTCTTTCCCAAGGCAAATGGTGGCTTAGCAGTGTCTTTGCAAGAAAGTGTCTATGTGGGAGGTGAGTCCAGCCCCAAGGGATGCTTTTCCATGGAAGGTGTTATACCAGATAATCTTGGGGAGCAGAGCACCTCAAAAGGAGGTGCTTGCCCACCAGAGTCCCCAAAAGATTTGGGGTCTTTGGTGAGGGTTGAATACATACTGCCAGAGAGAACATGCCTTAGCTTTGCATGTACACAGGCACACTTAGAAAAGGAAAGAAAGTTTATTCAGAAGAAAATATTGAGCAGGTACAGAACTCTGAGCCCAATGTTGCCTGAGCAGCAAGTATTCCCATTTCATCCCAATTTTATGTTCTCTTTCCCAAAAGATAGAGCTTCCAGCCTATCAGCCTTCTAGATAGGGAAAAGCTAACAGAGGGAATCATAGAATCGTACAGTTGGACGGAAGGCCTCTACTACCTGTCTGTTGATTGTCCTGACAGTGGACACTCGGCTGCCATCCTTTGCGTAGGCAGGAAGGGCGCAAGTCGTCCATGTTCCAGGCTGGGTTGCCAGATCTGTGCTGAGCGCTTTCCCATGTTCCTTTACTAAGTCCTTGGTGCTTGTCCTCTTTCTCTGTACTTGCTTCTGTGGGAATGGGGAGGCTCCCCTTACTTCCCAGATGTAGGCTAATTGCTTGATGGGTGCTTGATGTCTTTTGATGACCTTACCTACTGCAATCTGCCAAATGATCATGTCTATTTTCTATGGGTAAAATGGTGAGTTCTTCATCAACGTTTGCTGACTGCTATAGATGGGGTAATTTGTAGGTATCTCGGGACAATGATGGTCATCCTTGCAGGGTCATTTTGCCTAAGTTCTTGACCATTTTTCTGCAAGAATTCCAGTCATCATTCGTTCCTATCTCACTGATACTGGTGAGACCTGGGTATTTAGGTCCCTCCTCCTGAATTTCAGCTTCCCCAACACATCCCATGGCCTGAGAGTGTGCCCTGTGGCACGAATGTTGATGTACCATGCACTAAAAGGGGCAGGCACAGTTTGCCTAGAACCCTCTGTGGCTTTCCTGGGTGCAGAGCCTCTGCAGTAGGAATCATCATTTCTAGACTGCCATTTCATACTGAGGGATCTGTTCACATTTTCCTCCTCCACAGATGCAGCTGGGCGTCCACCAAACTGGGCCCCTGGACATAAGAAGAAGGATTTCTCTTGCAGTGACCGCCTGGTATGAGATCAGCCCTCCCCTTTCCTGCTCTCTCCTGCAGCCCCTCTTACCTCAGAACGGCTTATTTGGGCAGACTCTTGATCCACTGCAGTTGCTACCAGCCTGGTTATTGGGTGGCTGAAAGGCCCTCTGGGCTTTGTTGGTGCTTGATGAGACCACTGTGGTGCAGGTGTTGCTTACGTCCGACACTGTGGGCATCACAGATGTGTCTCACATATATTCCCCCTTAATTTGCACAGCTGTTTCAAGTTGGTAGGGGGCAGTGCTGGTGGAAGTCTAGAAATGGTTTGGCAGTTTGGGTGAAGAAAAAGAGGATACAGGTCTGAGGCGGGGTGCAAGTTGTAGGGCTTGTGTTTGTCTTTACATGCATAGGATTGTGCCTGGGCCATGAAAGCAGACCAGAAAGTTACAGGATATGCCTTAGGTCAGAGGTGGAGAACCTTGGTACTGATGCTGCAGCCGAACCTTCCAGAATTCCTCCATTAGCCACACCCCTTTCTCCCCCTGCCCCATATTCACTTGGTGGTTTCATGGCTTTGGAACCATTTCACCCCATTCTAAAAGGTCGAAATTCCGCTTTGTGGCTCAGTTTCTGGCAGTCAGAGCTTGAAGCTACAATAGGCTGGAATGGTTTGTATTTTGGGCCCCACCCAACCCGCTGCCAGTGCTTCTGAGAACTGGGATTTCGCCTTCGGACTGGCAGAGGTTCCCCATCCCTGCTTTATGCACAGCACTCTGGCCTGCATTGCAGCCTGCACAGGGCACCAAGCAATGGATTGCCAGTCAGTTTGCAATACTGCTGCCTCGAGCAACCATGCCTCCCACCCACCCCTGGCCACTTTGACAGACAGAGGCGAAAGTAACTATAACCTAGCTTCTGAAGGGAAGTACAGTATTCTTGGGTTGTCTTTGGTGTTGAAGGTGGTAGTTCAAGGACCTCAGCTTTGTCCTTTGAATGGAAGCCACTTGCCTTCAGGCCAACGAGTAAACATTGAAAGCTTGTCAACAGGAGCATTGGGAAGTTAGCACGATTTAAGGAAAGCAGCCTACGCTTAAGCTCCAGTGATCCTTCTCCCTCCCTCACAGTCACAGTTCCTGCAACCCATCTGTCTGGGTTCCTCATGTCTGTTTTTCTTGTTCTCTCAGTCCTGGCCAGACAGTTCCAAATTCCTAAATCATCTGGCAACAAAGTATGCAAAATGAGCAGGGTAAGAGGCAAACTCTGTGCTGTGGTCACAGAACATAACCAATTTGGGTGCCAGGGTACAGGCAGTTCTCCTCTGCTTGTGTTTCTCTCCGGCTCCTTCCCTTGTGCTAACAGCTTTCTTTTTCGTCTCCTTCCCAACAGTTTGCTCTAAATGTTGGGCTACCCTTCTATACGCCTGAGGAGTACTTCTTGGGATGGAAAAAGGCACCATTTGTGCTCCCCACCTTTGACCCGGTGAATAATCTCCCCTTTCTCAATTTGTTTACATAAAATTATATGTCACTTTTGAGTATGTATGGCAATTAGCATCTCTTTTGTGTAACTTTTCTAACAATCCTGTAGGTAAGCATGATTATTCGTACTGCAGGTGATGTAGAGAGAAGACACTAAAACAGAAAGGGTGGGAAGGTTCACACATGAGACTAAACCATGACTTGGTGCTATGTGCACAATCAGAAGGGAGCCCGAATGAATCTTTATGTTTGCTTTCTCTTTCCTGAAGGATTGAAAAGGGAATAAGCCAAGCTGTACTTTCACTTGGCCCAATTCTTGAGTTGTTTCATGAGTGAATCGAGTTGTAATTTGAAATAAACTCGGACTTGCTTAATAAACTAGATTTTGTTTTTAACTATGATTCTTGGTTTGCACATAACCAGAGTGGCTAAAGGTAGACTGCATTCATGGTAGAGGTCAGAGTCCAGTTGGGCATTTTCAGATTGTATTATTTATCATAATAAAGGAAGATGTGTGGCTTTCTGTCAGTGCCATAGTTCCAAGAGTCTGACATCAAGGTACGTAAAACTTGGCAGATATACTAAAGGGACTTTAAGAATGGGCCCCTTTAATGCATATATTATATTTATTTATAAATAATGTGGTCGAACCTTGCAGTCGCATGAGCACATAGGTTTGTAATCCATTCCGTTTGAAGCCAGAAGAGATTTGCAGACTAAGGGACAAGGTTGCATGTCTTCCCTCAGCCCTTTCTTGCAGGGCAGCCCATTCCATGGGGAATGAGGTGGAAGGGCCCTGCCTATGAGTGTACCATGGCACAGGCTGTGCCTAAGAATGCCAGCAGGCATGGCGCCAGGCTGTCAGGGTGGGCACAACGTGTCCAGCTCTTGAGAAATGTGTTGGTTAACTGGAAGGTTTTGCTGTATCCAAGTAAGGATTATACCAACTCATGCAAAGCCAGGTCCATTCTTTAGTTAATATATCACTGTCCCTTCTCCATCACAGCGGGCACTGAACCCCAAGGCACGGCTCTATGATCCCCCAGATGCTTGCTTGACCTCTTCCTCCCCAGAGGTGATTGTGGCTGTTGGCTTTCCTGCTGGTGAGTGACCACATAAGTTCCTCTTCTGTCTTCCGTATGTCAGTGTGTCCAGATTGCCTTTTGGAGTCAGTGCCAGGAAAGGCCACTGGGGAAACAGTTGATTTTATTTCCAGTCTCAGAACATCAAGGCCAACAAAAGCTGAGGCCTTTCCCTGGCTTAGAGTTTTTCTATGCTTTTGATCCTGAGTCCTGACAGGAAAGCAGCAGTATTCCAAAATAAAGCACATTTCCTTATAATCCTTGCAGGCTCTGGAAAGAACCAGGATAGCTTAAGGCAGCTTGATGCTGTTCTCAGCTAAGTGCAGTGGTAACCGGCAGGCATTTGTCACCAAAGCAGGCAAAATAAAAAGGAAAAATAATATTTGAATATATCCAGGGACTATGTAGGGAGAGACAGCTTGACAAATGTTTTGGGGGAAAAATACCCCACTTCAGTCTCCTTTTATCTAATTTTTAACACTAACTTGCACCATTTTTCTGTCCTTTAGCTGGCAAGTCAAGGTTTTTGAAGCAACACTTGGCCTCCGTTGGTTACGCCTACGCCAACCGGGTAAAGCAGCTACTGTGCCTCCTGCCCTCATTATTCCTCCCATCTTTTTCTAGCCTTTTGTGACCTGTCTTCCATCCCTGCCACCCCCCCTCCCCCCAGGACACACTAGGTTCATGGCAGAAGTGTGTGGCGTTGTGCCAAGTGTCGCTGCAGGCAGGGAAGAGCGTGGCAGTGGACAACACCAATCCCGATCCAGAATCGAGATGCAGGTAAGGTTCCTCTCAGCAGAAGGGACTGAGTTACTATTCAGGCAGGATGAAGCTACTGTAGGGGAAGGGAGATGGGGTCAGGCTCTCTGAAAAAATGCCATGCCTTTCCTCTGCCAGATATATCGAATGTGCCAAGGAGGCCGGCGTTCCCTGCCGCTGTTTCCTCTTTACTGCCTCACTGGAACAAGCGAAGCACAACAACAGAGTGAGTACATTCCTGTCTGGAAAGCTTGCAGAGCTGCAGCATGTTACCAGCTGAAGCCACAAAGCCCTATCACAAGCCTTCAAGAAAGCCCATACGGCTCAGGGCCTTTGCTTGAGTTGGTGTTTTCACAGCACTGCTGATAGCTTTCACTACAGTTTTTTTAGTTTCTTTTGTGGGTGGGATGTCTATTTTATTACTGTTGCTGGTTCTCATTTATTCTAATGTTTATCATTTTTATTTTATAAGCTGCCCTTTTGGGGTTCTGTATCCTAGAAAGCAAAGCAGCCTACAAATACTTTCTTAAATATCAAATAAATAAATTCAAGGGTTTCAAAGTTTCCCTTCACTTCTTTAGACTCATACACCCACCTATTCTGGTTCTTGTGCTCAGATCTGAGGTCTGGAGTAATAAATTAATATTGCAAAGGGATTTTTTCCTCTTTCGGTTGCTGCTGCACCTTATAAGAGTAGGGCTGTCAATTTTTCAGGTCAGATGATGACCATTTCTCTAAGAGCTCTACTAGTAACCAACACATTCCTTTGAAGCTCTTACAGTGAGCTTATTATAAAAGCCCTGATTTAGATGACTGTATTTGAATCAGTGTATACATTCTCTGGCTCAGTAACCCATCTCCAAACAAAATCGATGTCACTACAGAAATGTAGAAGCAACACAGTGTAGCTGGGATGTACACTGTTGTGGGGGTGGAGGGTGAGAAATTGCCTGCTACCTGAAGTATCATGCAGCATTATTAACTTGCAACACTTGCTAGTCAGAGCTAGCCTAGCTCTGAAAGCGACCTCTACGCTTCTGGTTACTGTGCTTAGCAGTCACTGACAAAATATATCCTTCCTGTTGTTAAGTTGCTGAAAGCTGTTTATCCTGCTGGAAAAAGTGTGCCATGAGTTCTACAGAATTAAGTACATACTGTCTGAAATGTTTCTATCTAAAACATGCTGCCTAAGAAGCTCTATTGGATGTCTGATACTTCTTCACTCTCTCCAGTTGGGGAGCCCACCCTATGCCCTCATTAAAAAAAAAAAGACAAGGACAAGGAAGCTCACTTTTTTACCTTATCTTCTCCTTCTGTTTCAGTTTCGGGAAATGACAGAAAAGGGACACTTGCCTGTTAATGATATTGTCTTCAACAGTTATAAGTAAGTTCTGAGGGGAGGGTAGCTTGCAGTAGAATGGAGAAAAAGCTTTAAAGGATGGGCCCTTTTGTATGCTAGACCCCTTTTTGCCTTCTGCCCCACTCTCTACTAGACCACAACTCCCCATGCCCAGCTGCTCCAAATTGGAATTTGGCCTCTAGACTATTTTGTTCTCCTTCTCCACAGAATTCAAGGTAATTCTGCTAGTGTGGAGACGCCAAGGTAGATCTAGCAGAGCAGAGCTGTAGAACTGTGATACTGCAACACCAAACTTCTCCTGTTTTAGCAAGCCAATTCTTGCTTAATCAAATCAAGTATATTACCCTTAGGCTTCCTGAACACTGCGTGGGGCCAGGCCAGTCTTCCCCAGCCTTGTGCTGGCCAGATACGTCAGCCTGTAATTCCCATCAATCCTAGCTCAGATCCCCATCCCTGTGGCCTTAATTCTGACTGCTTAGTTTCACAATGCAACATTTGCCTCATTAAAATAGTACTTTTATTGCAGAAGATAGTATTTTGGGAGGCACTAGTACTGTTGAAACATTGCTTAATGACCCTTATTTCTGTTTACTAGGAATAAGTATGTGGCACCATCGCTGGAGGAGGGTTTCTCCGAAATCCTCAAGATTCACTTTGTGCCTCAGTTCACAGACTCGCGACTAGCAGCGCTTTACCAGCAATTTTCAGAGGGGTGATAGCAAAGTGGCATCCCCAGCCTATTATATCTCCATTTCCATAGAAGGCATGCTTATGGAGCGTGTGAGCTCCCCCTGCCGGCCAAAGGGGAAGCTTGCCTATGGCCTGAGACTGCCCTCAAGCTGCTCAAAAGTGGAACAAACCAGCACTTGATTTCCTTTCCACATTTTTAAAAATAAAGTGAAATAAAGTTCTGGAAGTCCAAGGGCTGCCCTCTCCTTCCCAATGAAGTCATAGGAAGGGTCACATTTAGGCTTACTGCAGCTTTTCAAGAAGAATGAACAACAGGTGAGCCCCCAAGCTGTATTGGCCTACAACTCCCATCATTTTAGTTGGTACAGCCAATGATCAAGAATGATGGGGATTACAGGCAAAAATTGCAGGAGGGGAACAAATTACCTACATACTTTTTTAAAGAAAAAAGCAGGAGTAGGCAGACAATGGGCTAAGATCTGCTGGGGGATGGACAGAAGGAAAAAACCCCCAACACCTAGTTTTCTCTTCCAATTGAAGTAACCCTAGGCAGATTACAACAAAATCCCAACAAAGCCAAATTTGCATACCAAAAGAGGAAGGCCCATAACAGTTCACTGCAAATGCAACCACTTGGATCAGCTTGAAGAAGCCATCAGGATGCTAGTAGTAGCCTTAGCGGGAATGTGCCTCTTTATTGTAAAGGCATGGAAAGCAAGTAAGTGATTAAAACTGCAAGTGTTTTCATTCTACCTTCCTCTTGCCCCTTCAAATTTGAACACAGCAGCATTCTCCAAAAGCTTTATTTTACAAAATAATAATAATACAAATCATTCATTCACACACCCCAACTTGAGCCAGGTAGCTGAAGCTCATCATGATGTGTCCATCGTCTCCCCCTCTGGAAAACAAAAGGGAAAAGGGGCTTCAAGATGAAACAGAACACAACCCAAGAGAAACAGGGGCTCTCTCTACAGCAAAAGAAAGAACATCACCCCTACCCTCATCTTTGAATGTCTTAGTCCCCTCCTAACCTTTCAACTTGATAAAACCACCCTCTCTACCAGGAGAGATGAAATAGACCTGGTGCTATTAAATTATCCCAGGGAAAGCTCACTGTAACCTAGCCCATCATCCTCGCAAATGCAGCCAGCATTTAGAAACAATTGTGAGTGCTTGTTAGCTAGTGCCCCACACTCCTAAACTAAATGCCTCTTGTTCTGCTGGCTCATTTCCATGCTTCCCCACCCCAGTTTGTTAAGATGTGAACCATTATAAACTTGCAGGGCAACAAAGCATATTGCAAAGTCCTGCATAATGCTCAAATAGTCCATTTTCCTTTCCCTCTCTGGCCCTCATGAAAAGAAAACTGAAAACCTAAGTTTTCACTAAGGACTGGAGACAGTTTATTTGAAGATGGGACTTCAGTCAGCGTGCGCCCCTGGCCCAGCCTTTTACGGCTATCTGCTTTTGATTGTTCCTCATGTTTTAGCTTTCTTTTAACCAACAAATAATTCCAGGTTCTACAGGAAGGGAACAAGGAGTGGGGAGCAACCAAGCCACAGCATACAATTTATTCCAAAAGTTCTGGAATTTACCACATATGGCTCCCTCACACAATATAATTCCTCTATCCAAAGAATTTAGGAGCTGTAAGCATAGAGAGAATTTGTACTGTTGCAAACATTGGTTTGCAAATGCAGATTGTTTTACTTGCTCCTCTAAAATTGTTGTATGTATCTGTCTAAAGATACAAGCATCCAGAGAGAGGTCAACATGACAAGGCAGACTTTTCATCATTGCTATAGCAGCCTCTTCCCAGCTACGACTCTAATAATCTCCCTGACAGCATAGCTGGCTAGTCCAACACATCTGGGGAGGACCAATTTGGGCAAGACTGTTCTAGGAGCACTCCTCCTCCTTCCACGGCACTACCCTAACCCACCTCACAGGTTCTGGCCCTGTGGAAGTCATCCAGTGTCTTCTGACAGCCATGGCCTGAGCCTTAGAACTTACTTGCTGTGTCCCAAGCTGTTAGTATAATCTGTTCAGCACAGGACTCAGGGTAACATCCCAGATTCCATCCCGTTCTCTACAGCCCTAACAAAACCAGGCCCATCCTCATACCTCCAGGCTAAAGGCAGAAGACAATTATTATTTTTGAGGAATCCAATTGACCTTTGGGAGGAGTTGCTGACAGTGAACTGTTATCCTGTGAATATCCAGAGGATGCTCTGTCTGGGAATTGCAGATTTTTCAGAATGGATGAAAGTAAATACATGACACTTGGCATAGGACTGTCACTAAAAGTGGCCCTGACCAAAGCAGAGCCCTCCATTTTGGAAAGTATCTTGTCATATGATTCGAAGGCAGTATTATGACCACTGCAGCCTTTCCCCAAATTGGTGTCCTCCACATTTATAGAACTAAATATTTGGAAAACTGGCTGTGGGAGCTGTAGTTCTACATAGGTGGAAAACACCAAATTCACAAAGCCTACGTTAAGGCAGAGCTGACCCTGGTTCTGGAAAAGTTCGGATGACTGCTTTCCATGGATTCTCATATTGTTACTCACTGAGTTCATTGAACATGAAGGCATCTTGGTACTCCTTCATGTACTGAGTGGAGCGCGACTCATCAAGGAACAGTGAATACACACGCTTGATGTCATCTACCTGAACCTCTGTGCCCTGTGGATGAGGAGGAGGGTCAGCACTTCTTGGAGAAAAGGCAGCAGTCAGCAAAGGACTCCATACAAATGCCATGACAAGACAAGACAAGAAAAACTTTTAGCATTTACCCTCCAGTTAGACCTAGAAATTGGAACCCAGGACTCCCAACTTCAAAGCCCTCCCTCAACCCCTCCCCAAGAAGCAAGGGATGTGGGATCATAAGCAGGCTCCTATGAGCTATCTAGCTCCCTGCACATCATATACTCAAACATGGATGTTCCGAGCTGCTCCAAAACCTGGTTCACACCTGCCCACCGAACTTCTTCTGGTGCTCATCCCTCCCTAATGAAGTGAGCCGAGCCAGGAAGAAGTCCACAAGTTTCCGTGGCCCCCTTGTTATGCAACTGGGACTCCTCCCCAGCAGCTGTTCCTGGCAGCCTACCTTCATCCCTGTTAATTGCCACCGCCAGCAAGCAGGTGCATCAAACCAGCAAGGGATGCCAGCAAGGGAGGCATCAAACAGAAGCGCCAGCCGCCATGGCCACCTTCTTCCCCGCTTGCTGCTACCACCACCAGCAGCAGCACATGGGGGAAAGGGAGGCAGTCAATGGGCACAGTGGCCACCATTCCCGGGGGCAACCTCCTTCCTCGCCCAATAGCACTGCCACCGGCACGCGGAAAAAAGGAGCACGGTGAGCAGGCGGCCAAGCTGCTTCTCCATTCACTGTTGCTGACAGCAGCGGTGGGCGTGGAGGAACGGCACTGCTTGTGCAGCACATGGGGCTCGATTCCTGGCCCCCAGCAAACCCTGGGCACCCTTGCCAGGAACCAGAGTCTGAAAAGCCAAAGCCGAGGAATCCAGCAGATTAAGAGGGGAAGAAAACCAGCAGGGATTCTCTAGGCCATACGGAGAACTGAAATACTGGAACTTTCTCCATCTATTTCAAGTTATTTATGCGTTCATTATGTAGCAACATACATACTATTTAGTATCGTAAGGTCCCAAAGCAGCTTGACTCTCTTACCCACAGAAAGGCCCACAGTACCATCCCAGGCCAGGGCTCACCTTCCTCTTGCGGCACACCAGGCTGGCTGCTGTGATAAGCTGGATGGCATAGCGCAGGGAGGTCTCCAAGCCAATGCGGGTTAACACAGTGTAGGCATCCTCATTCATCTCAACATCTTCCTCCTCACACCTACAAGGAATATATGATGGAGCTCAAAACACAACCAGCCTATTCTCTCAGGAAAGGGGAAGATGACAACAATCATCATAGTAAGAGGGCAAAGAATTGCTTTGGAGGAGAGCTATTTTAAGCTACAGGCTATTGCATCTGATCCCTTACCGGATCTTGAGGATCTGCTTGGTTTCCTTGTCACTATAGGGAGAGGTTGAGATGATGAGCATGCGATCCAGGAGATCAATAGGGATGCCATGAGGGCTCTGGTAGTTGGTACCACGAATCCTAAATTGACAAAGAGGGAAAGACATGAATAACAGATGGTGGCAGGACCACCAAACCAGAGGGAAGAGTATGAAAGAGATGGGGTAGCAAGGGAATATCTCTAGGCACCATACACATTTCCACCCACCCCACAAATGGGGTGAGTGGGAATGAGTGAGTCCTCAGCATCTGCTGCCACATTCAGCTCAGCTATATATGGCATGCCCCGAAAAAGCACCGCTTGATACCGACAGTTGCTCTTCAGTTCTCCGGTCACCGCACCATCAGCTTCATCTGACTCTCCTGCTGGCCCGGACAAACTCCACCAGGCAAGACACCAGGGTTGGGTAACCTTAGGCGCTGGAGCCAAATCCAGTCTTCCAGATTTCTCAGATGCCCACACCTCTTCCAGCCCTCTTCCCACAACCATGGTTTGGTGCTTCCCCAGCTTTCGTGCTACGCATTTGAAATGGTCTCTCTGAAGCATGGATTCTGACAGTTGGTGTTTCAAGCTACAATAAGTACACAGGTTGCATTTCTGGCCCCATTCTTTGTGCTTCATCCCTGCCCACCTCTGGGGTGCCATCCCCAAGAGCGGCGCCAAAACTGAATTTGACCCTCATCTCTACAATATACCATGCAAACATCCACTCAAATGTGCCCTTGTCTCCCAACAGTCTTCATCCCTCCTCAACTGCCCAAAGCAAAAGGCTATGAATTGGGGTTACCATGGAGAATGTTGACGTGATGACCCCCCACCCCCAAGATGGCAACCACCCACTTCACCATGCCTGATGGCTAACTGCCTGGTGATGTTATGCCAACCTGGTGATGCCTCGATTGGTGGCCATGATGAGAACTGGGGCCATGTCACTCTCCAAGGCCCGGTTCAGGAAGGAGAAGCACTCAATGTCCAGCATGTGAACTTCATCAATGAACAGAACCTGAAGGAAAGCCGGAGAGATGAGACTGGGGTGGAGCAAAGGAGGTTTACACACCAGCAAACAATCCAGCCAGAGCACAGGGGAGAAAAGGGGTACAAAGGGCATGATGCACCCTTGAGAACAAAACTCACCCCTGGGATCACCTCAGCTTTGCCTTCCTCTCGCCACTCTGCTACCTTTGCATTGATCTGCTCCCGCACCTCTGACTTTATCTCTCCTGTATCACCTGGGGGCACACACAGGTTTGAGCAAGGCAGGCAGGATAAGTTGCTTTCCCATAAGTTCAACCTCGTCATGCAGATACAATGTCTTCTAGAATGACTGATTTACCCACCCAACCTCAAGATGGGCTCTTAAGATCATTATTTTCAGGACCAGATGAGAGAGGAAATGAGCTGTGCACCATTTCAGTTCATCCTGTATTAAAACATCCACTTCATGTTTTAGGCTCCAGTCTCCAAATCACTTAATACTGCTCAAGTAACTCAGTGTGGTAAAAGCATGGAAGAGTAACTGAATTGTCACCTTTTTATCCAACACTTCATCTATGCTCAAGGTAGTATACATGGTAGCACCCACCCTGGTCCTTTTCATGGTGGTTTATGAAGATTTTTTTATTGTCTGTATGACTACAGCATCTTTATAGGAATAATCTTATAATCCTACATTATTCTGTGCCCGGTCTATCAAT